AAAAATCTGTGAATAAATTGCAACTCCCGAATTGTCAATTTTATAAAAGTTTATACAAAATCTATATGATCGTAGTCAATAGTCTTCACCACCCTATATATTTCAAGCTATGATAATACTTATCAATTCTTTGTTTAGCTTTGAAAGACGGAAGCATGCATATCAAAATAGAAATATAGGATTCCTTTGTTTAACAGCTTGCCCGTTTTCTCCATCTGACAAATTGACCGTCCATACATATCGTATAACATAACCGCTTAGAATATTAGTCTGATCTCCACGAATTAAAAATCTTGATCAGATTATTCAAACTACTTCATGAATCTCCTGTTGTACGTACCACCGTCTATCCTCTTTGTGTTGCTTTTTATGAGATTCAAAGATTGGCTTTGAGTACATGAAGTTTTGGCCCTTTTCTTGCCACAAAATTTAAGGCTCCGATCCTATCGTTTCAAAAGAGGTTCAAGTCTTCCACAAAATTTTCACATTTTCTGTAAGTGATTCCATACCTGCAAACTGAGATCTGTGGTATTCATTAAGTCCAAAAGGAATTCACGACCTCTCTTTCTTCAACATCTACGTACTGTTCCTAGACTGTCTTGTCGAGAAAACATAGTTTTATTTATTTTTTCTTAGAGGCTCACATTAGGGGTGTCAAAATGAGCTCGTAACTCATGAGCTGGCTCAGATCAGCTCGATTTTTCATGAGCACGAGCTCTGTTTTTTAGGCTCATTTAATAAATGAGTTATATGATCGAGCTTTTTTTAGATCGCGAGTTATATGAGCGAGCTTTAATGAACATGAGCTGGCTCATGAGTTCGGCTTTTTTTACAAATATATATATATATATATATTGTAAATATATACAAAATGTCAACATAAGCATATATATCTTTTCCATTTAAATTAAACAAAAATAGAATTATTCTATTAGGAAATTTGTGTTTTGAGGTTATTTTTTTCTTGGATTTATTTCCATTATTTAACTTTAGAATTAATTATGTTATTGGATTTATTTTCTTTTATTTAAAAAAATTTACATTATTTTTGTTGTTATATTTATTTGTTATGAGCTCGCGAGCTAGCTCATTTAACTCGCGACCAAGATGATCTGAGTCCGAGTTTATATATTGAAGCTCATCTAATAAATGAGCTGAGCTGAGCTAGCTCATGAAATGTCCGAGCTCATCATGAATTGAGCCGAGTTGAGCGAGCTAGCTCATTTTGACACCCCTACTCACATATTTATTCCAACCTGCATATTCTTTTCACGGCACAACCTAAATGAAAAAAAAATTTAAATGTAACTATAAATGATTGCAAATCGTTATCTTACAAAGGAAAATATTTAGACATTCCTAATAGAGTTCTACGATTGATCTTAGGCGATACATGGCAATAATTACATGATAGAAAAATAACGTACGTGATAATTGCATGCAACCCTTATATTTAGGGCTCGAAATCGAATAATGGAGGTAATATTACTCTAATCGGTTAAAGAAACTCTACCGACATTAAATGATCAAGAATGTGAAAGAGATTTAGGATTATTTTGATGTAAATGCGAAATTAGTGGTGGAGATTAATTTCCGTAAACGCAAAGGGTCATTAGTCACAATCGAGCTACAGTGGGAAAGCCCTAAAGAGGCTACACCATGAAGAAAGAGCCCTAGTTGAGACAAATCCACGTGACTTTGGTTTACAGATTAAAAAGTAAAAATAAAGCAAAACCCTAAATAAGCAAATCGACCATAATCTCGTAAAAAGAACAGACAAAACACAACCTCATGTAGAAGGAACAATTTCTGAGCGCCGCCAGTGTTATTAATTCAGAATCATAATTTCACGATTTTCAACACTCTCCTTTCAACTCCAACATCATAATTTTCCCATCCACAAACTACTGTGTTAAATCATTTTTAACTCTATTTACTTATTATTGTTACTGTAATTAGCTATTATTATAAAATAATGACCATTATTTCCAAAAAACACTATTAAAGAAAAGTCCGTAAAGATTAAAAAAATAACATGACCAACGAAAATAGGTGAAAACGATGATCTTTGAATTTGTTCGAAAATAAATGAAATCAATAATTTTGTATTTCTAATTTATTGTTCCAAACTTATTAGATTTCAAGCATGGAAGGTCTAAAAAACTTCAAGAAAGTTTTCTGAAAGATTCATGTTTTTCACTAAAAACAAAAGAATAAATTGACCTTTAATTAACAGTATCAAAAGACCTTTAAACTCTGACAATAAGAAAGAATGGTGCAAGGGTTAAGATAAAAATAGTAAATAATAATTATGATTTTGTTACTTGTCAAAAAGACATGTAACTTATTACTCTGCTTTTATGCAAGTCCGTATAAAAGGAAAAAGAAAAGACGACATATAAGTTCGAACGTGGAACATGAACTTCGTTACTTTATCAAAAAAAAAAAAAAAAAAAAAAAAAAAAAAAAAAAAAAAAAAAAAACATGAACTTCGTTAAACGTACTTTTGCTTTCTGCATCTCTCATAGAGTCAGTCACAAGTCAAAAAGATGCAAGTCCATTTATTTTATTTTATATTGGGTCAGGTCCCTTTTAAATTAAAAACAATAAAATGTGTGTTTTTTTCCTATAAATACGTAATCAGCTACCATCACATTCAGGTGCCTCAAAACCCTAAGAGAATCACAGAACAAAAAGAAAATATTATTAGCATTAAAAAAAATCTCCCTTAGGTCAACCATGGAAGAAGCAATCATGAGACTCGAAGGTGCCGAGCACAGAGAAACCAACAACCATTCTCTGAAGAGAAAGCCAGCAAGACCTTCCTCGACAGCTCCTGGCTCTCCCGGAGGAGTAACTACCGCAAAAGCTGCCTCTGGCGCCGGCGCTTCCGGTGGCTCTACCATAAGGTACCGAGGCGTCAGGCGTAGACCATGGGGTCGTTACGCAGCTGAAATACGGGACCCATTGTCCAAGGAGAGACGATGGCTCGGAACATTTGACACGGCCGAGGAAGCAGCTTGCGCATACGACTGCGCCGCTCGAGCCATGCGTGGTCTTAAAGCTCGAACCAACTTCGTCTACCCAATGCCTTCTCTCGACTCTTATCACCACCGTATTTTCTCGTCTCCTCCAATGAATATGTTCCTTCTACGAGACGTTTTAAACTCTCAGTCTCTTTCTCCGTTAACCACTTTCGCTTACCCGCCTTGTAATCTTTCTAACGTAAACGACGTCGTTCACGAGTCCTTCACTAACGTTAACGATGTTTCCGAAGATCTCTCGCCTAAAGCTAAGAGGTCAAGTACCATTGAGAACGAGAGCCTGATCTCAAATATCTTTGAACCAGAACCAGCTGGTTCTGGTCTTCTTCAAGAAATTGTTCAAGGCTTCTTACCAAAACCTATCTCTCAACATGCTTCTACACCTCCAAAGAGCAACCAACAGTCGGTTGGTGTTTTCTCGACGATGCCAGAGACCGGTTTTCAGACAGATGTTCGTTTACCTGACTTCAATGTCGAAGGAAACGGATTCGGTCAGGTGAAATATCATGGTGAGTTGGGTTGGGCTGATCATGAGAGTGGGTTTGATTCAGCTAAGATGCAGCAGAACGGAAATGGTGGAATGTTTTATCAGTATTGCTTTCATGATTATTAGAACATTGTTGTTCTACTTTTTACGTGCTTATCACTTCACTGTTTCTTTAGGGTTGTAAGAAATGAGGTTAGGGGTAACTAACTCAAAATCTTTTGTCTTTTGTTTCATCGTCTTGTTGTGTGATCAATTTATCTCTCTGTTTTAGCAAAGAACAATTTTTAGAGTATGAGCGAAGTTAATTAATGGTGTATGACATATGTCGGTTATGAGCAAAGGTGATAATAAAAATAAAGTAAGAAAAGAAATAGTCGAGGGGCTGGGGATGAAGACAACACCAAAAGGACAAAACTATATATCTTGAAAAATTAGTTTTTTTTCTAGTAAGTTGACTTCAGAATCATAAAGACAGCCTTTGTCCTCTTGCTTCTCCTTCTTTCCCTTTTCCCTCTCAGATCACCGGAAGGGCATATTTTATATTTTATGTTCACAAAATCCTAATTCCCTTGCTTAAAAGTATTTGCACCATATACATCAAATCTCAATATACATACATAATTCAGTACTCGAATTTGCATCAATGTTTATAACCCTTTTCAATAAAAGAATTTGCATCAATGCATGCTTAGTAATATGTTGCATATGATCTTCTAATATATGAAGCCTCCCAAGAAGGGGACTAATTAACCAAGATCAATCAACAAAACAACCATATCCCAATTATGATATTTAGGGGAACTCTTCAAGTATCCGAGAGATCTTCTAAATATTTGAATATCTAGTGGATGTGATATGGAATGATGTTGGTGACTGTCTTTGGTTTTAGATGATCACATCAGAGTCGTTGCAATTAAGTTTCTTGACAAATGTGATTTTATAGAGTTTGAATCATGATAAGCATAAAATGAACCATATGAATAATGAGGGGGTTGAATAAAGATCAATTTTCATTAAAAAAAAGTTTTCTGTAAAAATATATCATCAAATTATTTTCCCTATGTTGGTAAGCATTTAAAGCTATACTTTATCCCATTATATATATTCAATGCATTGTATATAATAAAAGTTTTTTTTTTGCATTGCACATATAGAAGGGACAGTACAAAATAAATAATATCTCTGTAAACAACATTTATAAAAGTGTATAATTGATGAATGATGATTGATGAAGGTCATGATCATGAACCATTGTCCATTTGATTAAACACAAGAAAGTTACTTATGTGGCTTTTGGGGATAGGAGTAGATGAAACATTATGAAAAGTTAAAGGATACAGTTGGTCCTTGATGGACTCCATCATCATTCCCGTGAAGACCATACAAAAAGAAAAAGATTTGTTCAGTCTTAAAGCTTCTTCAAATCTTATATTGATTATATACACATAATGAGGTATACCTCTTCATTCATCATTGATTCCCCTTCTTCTATTTCATATTCAAATTATGAACGACAAAGGAATCATGGAAACTGAAGCTTCCATAGCGGCGATGGGGCTTGGCGGACTGTCCCGTCAGACCAGCATCACTAAGAACAGCTGCATTTGCTCACCGACCACTCACCCGGGGTCATTCAGGTGCAAGCTTCACCGGACTCCTTCACTGCAGCGTACCAAAAGCGTTGAGACTAACATACTTCAAAATCTTATGAGCAAGCCAGATGATTCTTCTAGTACCGGAGATGAAGCAGCTAAATAGTCACTAGGAAACAAGGTAGTACCGTAGTAGTTCTATTCTCCTTTTGTCTCTACGTCTTGTGGTTTCTTACTTTCTTTCATTGAAGTGTGTGTAAAACATTTAAATTTATTTTCTTTTAATTAATCTCTAATAAATTTTGTGATAAAACTTTCCAACTTATCAAATTTGGTACCATCTTTCTAATGTTAAATTTTTTCAGAAAATGATTTTCTTTTTCTTGGTGTACTTATACTTGCGCCTCATGATGTTGGCCTTTAAGGTGTTTCAAAGGGCATTATGATCAGATTAATTTTAAATACAAGAAGAGACGGAATAGTGCTACAATAGAAAATAAATGAAATTGTTTTCTTTCAAAAGATCTACAGAAAAGAGAACTGCAGAAACGATTGCAAGTTGTTTCCAAAATTATTTAATTTATTTTAAGTTTTTTTTTTTGGTATCATAATTTATCTGAAGTTGCAAAACAGAGATGGTCCCAAAAAGCCTTAGAAAGAAGACGAAGTAGCTGATCGGATGTATGAATGTGTGAGGTTGCTACAGGGTTGGTCAAACGTTTCCTAAATTTTAAGCGAAATGTTAATTTTGATCTTTAAAATAAATAAATCTCAAAATAATATTACATAAAATAAATTAAGAATGTCGAAACTTCATAAAAGAAACCATTTAATATAAAACACTCTGATTCTTATCACTAAGGAAAAAAAAAACATGTTGTGGATGGCAAGAATTTTGATAATTTGACTGGTATTATTTTAGACTAGAAAATATTTGAAGTTGGCAACTTTTAAATTTGAGACTCTCATCACATGCACGGGCTTCTCTCACCTATGTTATGGGCCGGGCCAGGCCAGGTCAACCTAGCTGACACATAACTTGCATGATCACTTTTTGACTAAGCAACAAGACAAATCTATAAGACGACCGACGAAGAGAACCACGATTTCCCTACGTTCTCCACTAAAGCTTGCGCATTAGATACATCATACATCATTATTAAGGCATCTAATTCGATCAAGCTATGAAGAATAACTAACAGTAACTACCAAATTTAACATTTGTCGTTTGTACTCTCGGGGCATATACCTTAGAAAATTATAAACCGTTGGCCCACTTCAAGAATTCGAAGTTGTTAATGTTTTCGACCAATCAATCTTGCTTCTTGTTAAAGCTAATCTCTCACACGCTATATTTCGTATTAGATCCTTCTTACCTATCATTAGACCAAACAAATCTCTAGACATGTCCATAGAATATATTAAAATCGGCCAAACCTCAAGGAGTATATTTATATATTTGCTCGGAAAAGACATAAAGAAAAAAGGGAATCGGATTCACGCCAATCTATTATGTTGACTACAACCTCATAACATCTCTTATATAAAGATACCTACGATAGTTTTCAAAGATATCGCTAAGAAAACAACACTCCAAATAAGAAAGAGCTAGTTTAAGAATGGTACTTGGAAATTCCTCCAGTTCTGGTCACAAATCTCATCATCATCACCATAATCATCATCATCGGGACTCGATGAAGGAGTTCCGAGCTGTATTTGAAGCCGAAGAACCGATCCAGGGCTTCGAGTATGCAGATATGAGGAGGTCGAAGAGCGAGAATGTGGGCACGAGAGAGGTTGCAAAAGCAGAGGATGTTGACAAAGAAGCTGAGCAATTCATCAAGTTTGAGCATACGAAGTTCAGTAAGTGGATGACTAAGAGCGCCTAGCGTATGTGGACGAAGAATAAGAAATAATAAGTGACATACCATAATAATATAGATTGTATTAAGTGATTTGTGTTCTTCTTCTTCTCCTGGGTTTTATTTTGGTTTTGTAACAAAATGGGTGTTGTTTCCTTTGCCTAGAAAGGTGCATGGAAATAAAGTCTATACAAATAGATTGTATTAAATGATTTGTGTTCTTCTTGTGTTTATTTTGGTTATGTAACAAAATGGGTGTTGTTTCCTTTGTCTAGAAAGGTGCATGGAAAATAAAGACTATACAAATTAGTAATTTCATGAACTTTTGGATCTTTAGTACCACACAAGTTGTTTTTCCGATAACATGCAAAATCTGGTTTGAAATCGAATTGTTGTTACACATTTAAATGCAAAATTGTCACACTAATCATGAATACATGAAATAAAATGCAAGATATAACGAACATAATTCCTTCTAAAATGTTAAAATACAAGAGCTTTGAGAGTTGAAATATAATATTTCCATTATTAGAAAAGAAAAAAAAAACCCTTTATCAACTCAAGAAAAAAGGGGAAAACACACACAACAATTGTAGTCCTTTATTATGAAAAAAACCCCTTCTTCATACCAAGAAAAGAAAGGGGAAAAACATAAACACCAAAAAGGGTAAAATAGAGGATAGAGAATGTGGTATTTGCCTATAGCAAAGCAAAAACAAAAGGAAAGTGTGAAACAAGATTCCACCACTAGAGAATGGACCTGCAAAGAGGACATGTGGTGTGGTTATTACCAAACCAGTTGTCTAGACAAGTCCTGTGGAAGAAATGCTTGCAAGAAACCAACTCACTCACTTCCTCTTCCTCTTTAAACCCACACAGACACACACAACACTCCACACCTCTCTCTTCTTCTTCTTCTTCTCCTCTGTTCTCATATAGAGACTTGAACTGTGTAATCGAGATTCTTCTCCTCACGAAATCCTCTTCAGGCTCTTCGTCTATCTCCATGGAAGATTCAGTCTCGGATGCAACAATTTGAAAAACAGACCTCACCATGTTCTTCAACAGAGTGACTGAAACAACCGTGTTCATCACCAGAAGTGGTAGTACTCCTTCTGACGGTGTCGGAAAATGCGAAAGACCCATTTTTCAACTAAATATTATATTCACAGAGATAGAAACTGAGAGTCTTTGAAATTTTGAGACTTGAAAAATCCTTAGAAGAGAAGAAATAAAGAGAAAGTATAGCTGCCACTCATGTTCCGGTGGGCGATTGGGTTTATTAAGCAGCGGTGGTCTAAACACGTGTCACCAAGAGAGAGGTTATCGTTAGAGACTCATCTCTCTCAATTTGATTGTGACTTAATAATAGGTTGGTTCGTCTTTTATAACCAAAACATATAAAATAAAAACAAAAACTCTGTTTTGTGTTTTTTTTTTTCTGTGGTCTGTTTGTTGTTAGATCTTCTGACACGTATTGTGGTCAGCCAACCAAGTTGTGCGTTGTGGAGAGCTCCTTGTTCTCCCGAGGTCGATTCTCAATCGACACGTGGAACACTCAAACTTTCACGATTGCATGCCACGTCACTTGTCCGGACATGCTGACACATGAAAAAATTGGACAAATCTTTGTCAAAGTCCACACACCTGTTCTGTTTCAGCTCCTCACAATCTTTATGTGATTAAAAATCATTCACAATCCTGTTTCTATTATTCAGTCTGATAGTTGTGCGGATCAAAGAGATCGGAATCTTATAACCTATAGAGATCTACTATGTAAATGTTGAGACACTATAGTATATATAGCACCTTGAACTCTCCTGGCTACAACTAGTATTGGTAAGGTCCCTACTGAGAGGTTGTTGAATTGGATGGGCTTTCGACTTGTAACGATTTGAAATAATCCTTTTCCGCAGCATCTAATCTGTTCTCGAACATTTTCCATTCCATTTGACATCTATCCCTCACCTGCAACACACACAAGTTTAAGTCCATTTGGTTACTTTCTTGTCAAGGTATATAAAAACCTAAGACAGCCCTAGGTTTTGGTATAGAGAACCCATGAAAGCCCTCCAAAACAAGACCAAGCTTCTTATTCAGACAAAGGCAAAGAAAAAACCAAGTTTTCTTACCCCTTGCCATGGTGCTTTCCCATTATCTTCTTTTCCCTATTTGCAAGAAAAGGAGAAAGAATGAGATTTTTAATTGGTTTTTGGAGAGGAGAAAGTGAAGAAGTTAAGTAACCTGGTTGCCAAGGGAAGGGATAAATTGATGAACGATCCACTGAGAGTCTACTATTCCTATCTTCTCAAATGCAGGCTCCTTCATTTTCACATATAGAAATGGAGGCCTCTTCATTAATTGATCAAACATGTAAGAACATTTTTATAGACACTAAGCAACATGGTAATCTTTTGTGTACCTCAACACATCTTCTGAGTGCAAAGTCAAGACCCCAACCGTGAACCAAATCATTCTGTTTTCCGTTCATATACAATTAGGTGCAAGAAGGAGCCATTATATACAGAGATGAAGGAGCCAATAGATAATAAAGTAATTGTAACCTGGATCATATGCCACACGCAGCGCCACGCATCTCTTGAGAATACAGGAGCCATTATCTCCACGAATCTGTGTTTTTAAAAGACACACAACAAAGTTACTATGGTTTAAATATGTTTGAAACTCGAGTTTGATAGAGAGATTTTTTTAAACATACGCAGCACATGGAGGCCGAGGAGGATGAGAGCACCAGTCGAGTTTTTCATCTGTTTCCCTGCTAAGATTCAAGCCATATTCAGAAACTTTTTGTAATGTAACAAAAATCATCTAGAGAGGACGTTATGAGTCATATATATACTTATGGACTTCACTATGTTCTCGTCTTTTGGTGATCTGCCAGTTAAACCCTCTCTCTGGGTCCAAACCAGGCTGCGAAATCTCAAGGCCGTGCTTCTTCACCATGTGTATGTATCTGCAACAACAAACATAGTTAGAAATTTTTAAGTAAGCTCATTAAAATGGAAGTGAGAAAGTAAAAGAAACTCACTCTTCTGCGTTAAAGTGATCGACTCCAAGATCTTCATCCCATATGAATATATAATCGTATCGTGCTACAATGTCCGGATGCAAGAATCTCTTTGCATACCACCTTAAATTCATAAATATGAGAATCAAGAAAGTCACATAACCAGAGAGAAAGGGGTTTAAGCTCGAAAAGATATTGATACCATTTTGTCTGCTTTTTGACACTTATGTGTATTGCATTCTTCGACCACTCAAACTCATCATTCCACGCACTTGTTATCCCATCGTAATGAAACAGAACAATTGTAAAGTTGTCTGAAAACTGTATTTGAGTAGACAAAACATAATGAGTTTACTATTGAGCAAAATCAGAAAACAAAAATTGGTATCAATCAACCTTGCTAACACACGCATCTATATTGTGTCTCTGATTATAGCCCACTGTAAATGTTGCTAGATATCTCGGTTGCTTCTTCAAATCCTGAGGAAACAGAGAAATGAAAATTGAAGCTAATGTTCATTGATCACACATGAAAGATGTAATATCAAAGAATGAGGAAAAACCTCATCAGGGTTCCCCCATAATCTGCGCAAATACAAGTCCGATTCGGATGCAATAATACCGGGTGGCAATCTCTCAGCGCCTAGAGGATTTGAAGGTTCCCATATCTGCACCAAACATGCCTTAAGCTTTGGTTTTGTTCTTAAAACATGAAAAAGAGTGTGTAAATTTCTACATAAAACATGCCTTTGAGATATCAATGGCCTTGGGAGGAGTTGCAATTCCTGAATCTCTAAGTGAGATAGCAATGGAGCGAAGAAGGTTTCTCGGGAGACTCGTCTACACAAAACAAAAATGCAACAAATGGAGAATAAAATCTAAGAAGTGGAAGAAAAGATTGGAAGAGAAAGAAGAAGAAGTAACCTCAGTGATCCATAAAGATGGAAAAGATAGTCCAACAAGAATGCCAAAAGCTATAGCAAACAATGCTGTTGTTAAAAGCTTCATGCTCTCATCTGATGATCTCTTACTACTACTTGGGCTGTAATAACAACAATCATCACCGATCTGATTTTAGAGAGAACAATAAGAGAAACGAGATAAAGGGTTTTTACCTGCGTGACAAGATTCCCATAGTTAGGTTTTAATTACAACTTCTGATTATAAGCTCCAATTGTCATCAACACCATCTCACTCCTGTTTATTGATAAACACACTGTAATTAATCTCTTGAGCTAAAACAAAACACGAATGATCTAACCAAAGACTCAATTTGCTTATCACCTAGATTAAATAAAACAATGCTATACATTCACGTGTGATTTATAACCATAAATTTTCTAAACGACAAAACACGAAGGTGATAAAAAGAAAACTTAGATTTATAAAAATGACATTACAAAGTAGAACACCACGACGAGAGAACGCGTTTGGATCAAATCAGTGATGTCTTCTTGGAGATCCTTATTCCTCCGGCGATCTCCAGTATTCAAGAGCAGACGTGTGGAACTGAAAGCTGTTTCGTGAGCTCTATTTTTTCAATAAAAGATAAAAACAAAAAAGTTTATTTTGTTTTGAGGAATTTTTTAGATTTTCTATGATATGATTAGTAGTGATTTGGCACACATGGGAAATGGAAACCAAAACGGGGATGTTGTTTATATTTTTTTCCTTCATATTTATAGAATTTTTCAATTAATTGGCTTTTTGGGTACTTACTCTTATGGACGAAAATATTACTCATGATGACTCCTCACCCACCAAGAAGATGAAGATTAAGATGTTATAACCTTGAGGGTTTAATTTACATGGTTGAAGGGTTTAATAGTCAATGGCCATATATATAAATATCACCTCATTTTTGGAAACTATATATATCACATTCAATTTTTGAAACGTATATGGTAACTTATCTTTTTTTTTTGGTGTGTATATGGTAACTTATCTACCATTCTGCAATTTCGATTCTTTTCCATCTAGACGTGGTCATTTGGGAAGGAAAAGTGTAGGAAAAAAAAAAAAAAAAGTGTAGAAAAAAGTAAATATAAATTTAAATCTATTAAGTGGTGTTATTCAATGATGGATTTTAATAGAATTGAAATCCAACACTAATCCAGTGTTATTAACCTAATGATTCTAAATCTAACTCTAATAGATTTTAAAGTTTGGTGTTATTCAACTAAGATTTAAAATGCTTCATTAAAATCCAGTGTTATTCAAAACTAAAAGACTTGTAAAATCTTTGTATATCAAATCATTTGAAATGAAACATCTTTGGATTTCATGAGTAAATTATTAGAATCATAATCCTAGATATACTGCAGATATTTTGAATCTAAACCTTTAAGAATTGACTTTAACTCCATGAATGAATAACACCCCCTTAATGAATTTTTTGCTATTATAATAAACTATAAATCAATTATTTACTGTCACAGACCATATCATCTCCCTTCTCTCTCCCTTCTCTCTCCCTTCTCTCTAAAAACTAGACCTAGGGTTTGGCGGCTCCGTTTGGCTCCGGTGGCTTCCATAGCACCGGAGTTAAGCCTCTTTTTTTACCTCTTGCTCTCTAATTGCCTTTGTTTGCTGCGCTAGGGCCATCGAAGTTGCTCTTTGTTTTCATCGGTGGTTCCTCTGTTGTTGATTTCTCTGTTTGTTTCGGCGGCGACTTTAAGGGCAGCTTGGGTCTCAGCCATGGAGTCCAGGGGTGGTGCTGAAGGCGTTGAGGATGGGTTTCGCCGGTTTTGACCCAGATCTGTGTCTCTTTGTTCCTCTCTTGTGTTGTCTCTCTTTGTTGCCTCGGTGATGAGGTGAGGAGGTGGTGTTGAGGTTCTGTCTAAAGTCTCTTGCTCATGGTAAGACTGCTTTGACTTTGAAGGGAGATCTCGGGTTTGGTTTGTCTCATCGTTTCTTGCGGTTTGTTGCCCTTTTCCTCCTTGTCCGACCATTTTTTGGGTTTGCTCTTTGGTTGTGTTAGATGTTTCTGTATGTGGTAGCTCCTTTGGTATCGGTCTTTTGTGGTATTGCCTCCTCGTCGTTCATCCGCTTTTGGCTTTTCTAGAGATTGCCTTTGTTCATCCTGGTTCGATCTCTTGCCGATCTTTAGTGATTTCGGTTTGGTCCGGGTTGTTTGGGTTCGCTCCTTGTCTCTACGTTATGGATCTGATCGAGATCTCATTAGTTCGTTTTTGGAGTCTACGAGGCGTTGAATAATCGGTTTCCTTCGATTGCGCCGTGTTCGGGAGCTCTGTTGTGGTCTACGATGTCTTTTGGCCTAGATCCCGTCTCGCCGTTCGGATTTCTTCAGAACTCTTGCTTTGTGTGGTAGTCTTCATCCGCTATAGGTGGAATCGCTCCCCGTTAGTTGGGATTTTCATCCCTTTCGGTGACATTCGTGGAAGGCTTTCCTCTCTTTAGGCTTTGCGGTTGTCGTAGTTGTGTGGTTAGATTCCGATTTTCCTTTGTTTGCTGTCCATGTTTCAGTTTCTGTCTTTGTTGCCCTTGTTTGTTTTGGTTTGCTTTGCCTTTTGGTGTTAGTTAAAAAAGTTCTCATGTCTTTGGGCATAGTTTCCGGGGTTGTGTTGTTAACCGCCGGCTTAGTTTCCGGGGATATGTTTGTTTTCCGCCGGCTTAGTTTTCGGGATTACGTTGTTAGTCGCCGACTTTGTGTTATGGTTTGTATTATGGCTCTTTGGATCTTTAATAAAAATTCTACCAGATGACAAAAAAAAAAAAAAAAAAAACAGCCCTATAATATTAAATATTAAATGTCTTAAACTTTTTTTAATAAAAAATAGTTATTTTTTACATTTTAGTAAACAATAAAGTCTAAAGCAGGTCATAGTAAGACCAGTCTAGAATCAGGATCAAATGTGAGATTTGGCTGTTAATTTTGGATGTTAACTTAGTCATTTATAACTTAGATTTAAGAGATTCATCATTTGAGCCATAGCACTCTTAAGATTTTGAGCAAAAAGGATGGTAAGTTTCATATTTTATTGATCAATGATCACTGGTTGGGTGTGGGAAACACCCTACTTTTTCGCCAAGCCTCCAAATTAAACTTCTTTTACTCAAACATTACAACATGAAAACATGTTAAAGCTTTGAAAGACTTTTTTTCAGGTGGTATATACACAAAAATCAAATACAAATACAGAGAGTATGGTATTGGTATCAGTACCGGTTTTCTCATAGTAGAGGTTCAGCGAGTTCCATCTCGTTCGCACTTTCTTGTCCTGACTCAATTCTTCGACCTCCCACAAAATCAATCCCGAGAAGTTGCCATGGCCAACACGCATATCTAGCTCTGTTTGAAGTATTCATATCCCGATGGGTTTCTAATTCTTCAACTTTACGGTTTAGCTCTTGGATTCTTTCCCTCAACTTAGTCGCCCTATTGTCTGCGAGTCTCAGAGATCTCTCTGCTGCATCCCTTGCACCCATGGCTGCAGCAGCCGTCTCTTCCTTAAACTTTAGTTTCTTTTCTGATTCTATTATTGCTTGCTTTGCCTCTTCAAGTTCTTCTTTTAGCACATATAGCTGAACAAACAAAGCCAATAAGAGTTAATACTATCATCATTCCTTAGTTTCTAGGAAATGCTTAACTAGAAATAGAACAGAGTGTGCGCTGATAGGATCCAAAACCGGAGAATATCCTTCATTCACTTCACAAAGAACCATCACAGAGAACTACCCTCAGTGCAATTCCCAATCCTAGAACCTAATACCCCAACTCATCCTCCTAAACGTCTCTTTAACTTGTTAGCTCTCTAGCTAACTGACTCAACACTAGTTGCTGAGCTTGTCAACATAGCTATAAGCCATTTCAAACCACCTAGGGTAATTACAAAGCTCCTGGCCTCCTGCACTAGACTAACCCAAGGACTTCTCACGCACCTGTGACGTGAAGTCTTGTTCAACAGCTCCACCAGCAGCAGCCTCCTGCTCGGCTGCTACTTTCCATCTTGTTATTTCTTCTTCAGCAGCAGCAATGTCAGTCATAAGCCCTTCAACCTATCACCCCAAGAAACCAAAACATAAACAAATTCTCGCAACAGAGTGTTACATACTTTGTCATATAAAGACAAATGATGCACGACAAAATCAGCTTTCACAGCATTGGCAAAGCAAAAATTCACTCACGTTTTCGTTTGCTATCCTCTCCTTTTCTTTAAGTTCTTCTATTTGGCGCATTCTCTGGTTAAGCTCCTTTGTCTGAGTGTCCAATTGTTTTCTAAGAGAACTGGTCTCTTCCCTGGTAGATTATACGCAAAAACAAGTGGTCAGCATAAGTTGCGCCAACAAACACCAGAAAATGATGACTATGGACAGCAAACTACACTGGAAAACTAGAGTATTACATTAAAAAAAAATGCATTACACAAGAAATCCCATAGATGCATTTAAAACAGCTACTTTCATGGAGTTTCATTAAACATCATGTACAATGTCGCAAGCACATGTGGAAGTTAAGTTATCAATAGAAAGCTGTTTGGAGTCACATTCCTACTATTTGGATTTGGTTGAATAATGACATTGCTTCATGGTTCCTAGGCCACCCGATGCTATGAGATAAAAGCATTTACTTTCCTAGTGAAACCAAGTGAATTTCATTTATCAAAGTTATAAGATATAAAGACGGAGTTCTGCATTAGAGAGCTTGCCTTGATTCTTCCAACAAGTGCTGCAGTTCGACGATCTCGAGCTGAGATGCCTTGACAATATTCTCCAATGTGCTGGCCTGCATTCCAATGTGGAGACATTATAAGGTACCCGAACGACTGACGTTCATAAAACAGAATAGAAACTAAAGGAACACACACCAGGGAGTATATTTCGTTGTCTTCCGTACTATGGTCATTAGTATTATCACTACGAGAGTCCTGAACCTTCCCATCCTTTAAGAGTTTAGCAAATTTGGAATCAGTACCAGCATCCCTCAAACCATTCTCTGCAGCTTGAAATAACTCTCGTTTTTGGGATGGCTGCTCTCCTATCATCCTTTTGGACAAAGCGCTCCTCAGTAAAGTACCAATATGTTCCTTCTCTTTAACTAATAGACCCACAGTTTCATTCAAATTCTTCAGTTCATGGCTCTTCTCTTCCACCAAACTCTGTGTTTTCCCAGAAACCACCTTGGTCAGTTCAAAGATGGATTCCATACCTGCTAATGAAGCTCGAATGTTCTCCTCCATCTCTGTCTCTTGAGGCATAAAGAAAGATTCAGACAAATCTGACAGTTCTGAACTATTTCCGTCAACTATCCTTACAACCTCGTAAAGCTGGTCATGAATCTTTGACACAAGATTCAGCTGATCCATCAACAAGGGACGCTGAGCAACCATCTTCAGTTCCATAGTCTTCAACTTCCCATTATACTCATCAACTAACTGTTTCAGCTCCACAACCTCACCTTCCAGCACACTAACCTTCTCTAAATTACCTTTCTCAAGTTCAGCAATCCTCTTCTCTTTCTCACTCACACCCCTCTCTAAATCATCAACAATCGAAGCCTTCTCTGCAACCTCTAATCTTAAATTACTGATCGCAGATTCCAGCTGAGAAACCTCAATGGCTATCTCGTAATTCCGTTGGTCCATCTGCTCTCTAGCTTCATTTCTGGACTTGGCAGTCGTATCAATCTGCCTAACAAGCTCTTCCACAATTTCATTAGTACGCTTAATAACTCCATAAGCTACAGAAGCCAGGCCTGTGTATTTCTGAGACTTAGGAAGACCTCCACTTGAAAAATTCTTAAAGCTGCTAACTTTACCAGATATCTTCTCAATCCCAGAAACCAACATATGCGAGGAATTCTCAATCTCTGCTTTTAAACCATCTCTAGATCTCACAGCATCATCAAGTTTCTTCGACATCTCATCCTGCTGCTTAATCAAATCAACCTTACCTTTATTAACATTCTCAAGCTCCTTTGTTAAATTCTCCTTCTCCTTCAATGCTTCATCTCTTTCCCTCTTAGACTCGTCGCGCTTCTTGATTGCCTCGTGAGCAAGAGATTTTAACCGATTGAAGGAAACCTGAAGCTCCGATTTCGAACTCTCAGCCGCTTCACGAGCTTTCTTCTCTCGATCTAGCTCAGCGATTAGCTCCGTTATCCTCTCCTCAGATGCTTCTTCCCGAGGCGAATCCTTTAAAACAACAGGCGCTGGTTCATCGGACTCGACATCGCTGAGGACAGCATCGGCGTCCTCATCGGGTCCGTTAGCCATCTCACCGTCGATCAGTTAAGACGATTTAGCCTTCTCTCCGATCTAGATTTTTGTAGTTATAACAGTAGCGTGCAAGGGATTGACGCAATTGCTTCGCCAAGGAGGCACAATTGGAAGGTCGAGAACAAAACTTTCTACCAAACAGCCGTATCTGATCGTAGAATTGAGAATTCCGAGAGGGGTATTTCGGAGTTAGGTGAAACAAGAGACTATCTTCTACGGCGGAGGAACTTCAAATTCTACGGCGAAGAGGACAGAAGAAAGCAATCTCGTCGAGGTCGGGTTGGTTTTACAATGTCTATTAATTCAATAATTAAAAGATTTGGACTTGGTAGGCTAATTTTATATCTTTTATTTGTTAGGCCCAACTCTGTCAAAAGTTAAGGCCCATTTCATTTTTCATTCATACAATTTACAAGTGGAAAAAAGATTTGGTTTTCCGTCTATAGGATCGACTTAAACCACTTCACATGCAAGTCCACACTCCACACCTTTCTTTTATGTCATGGACTTAAACCATGTAAGTTGTAACACTATCTTGGTCCGCCAATTGGGACAACGAAGTCCCAGTTTTATAATGTCACAAACTACACTTTTTTTTTTTTGGGATCAAACGTATGACATCTAACCATAAAGCACACAAAAATGTTTACAAAACAAATGATAGCGTAAACTCACGCACACAAAAAAAAAACATGTATAGGTGACAAAGTACTACTGGCGCTAACGGATTGGAACCGTTAAAAACCTTTATACAAATATCTTGTATAGTGTATATGGATTATCTTCTTACAACTTTTATTTAAAAAAAATTACAATTTATATATCACACGATGTAAATAAGATAACATCAAATCTTCTATATCTTATCTACATAAGATGTAATTAAGGTTTTCTGTTAACAAATAAAATGGTCAATTTCTTACTTACAGATTTGCTTAGGTCAGCAGTAACTGATAAATCATTCCCGAAAAAAAAAAACTAAAAATCTGGAGTTATATATATCTGCATTCTAAATTAAGTTTCAGAAGAATCATTGAGCAGATTCAGCGTACGCAGACCAAACTCGATTCCAGGTATCATCATCATGAATTGCACATTAAATTTTACTCATCATTCTCACTCCAATCTCTCTTTTTCTACGATCCCAATTGAAAAAAAAGTTTGAATTTTTTTCGTTTTCTTCTTCTAACACTACCGACGCTTCAGTCTCCACTATCAATTCTTTGATGAATTTTATAATGATCTCAGTATAGAATAATGTATATCAAAGAACTTTACTGATTTAAACAATGTCAAACGCAGAAGAAACTTCATCAGATCGATAATTCTCCAACAAGATTGAAACTTTGCAGGCGATCGTCTCTGTTCACATAGTTCCGAGTTTAAGTTTATCTGAGATGGGAAGTAGCAGTTCGAAACGTTCGAGCAGGAGAAGCAGTCAAAGATATTCTCAAAGTGCGTCTTCATCTTACGGACACAATCCTCACCAAGACATCCATCACTACACAGTACCGGCTCCTGTTTCATCATATAGTTCTGGGTTTCAGGCGCCTTCTCTTCCTCAAAAGAATCAAGGGAAGAAGAAGTTTTCACAGATCGGTGATTACTACCGGTCCATTGATGAGGTACACTACTTTTGGTCATGTTGATGAGATTCTTGTGAGTTCTTGTGTTTGTTGATTCTGTTTCTTGAATGTTCTTGGTTTTTATAGGTTACGGGTGCTCTTTCTCATGCTGGTTTGGAGTCATCGAATTTGATTGTTGGTATTGATGTCACTAAGAGCAATGAGTGGACAGGTGAAAAGTTTGAATTTTTATTATGTATGTAAAACAATTGTGTTTGAAGTTGAAGCTTTTTAAAGTAATGTTGGTGGGTTTGATTTTGAATTTAGGAGCGAGATCATTTAACAGGCAAAGCTTGCATTACATTGGCACAAGTCCAAACCCGTACCAGCAAGCGATTTCTATCATCGGAAAGACTTTATCCGCTTTTGATGAGGATAATTTGATCCCTTGTTATGGATTTGGAGATGGTAATGACTGCAAAACAAAGACTTGTTAGTTTTTCTGTATTAAGAGAAATGTTCATTTAATGGTTTTGTGTGTTTGATTCTTGCAGCTACAACACATGATCAGAATGTGTTTAGTTTCTACCCGGATGATACATTCTGTAATGGGTTTGAAGATGTCCTTTCACGTTACAGAGAGATTGTTCCTCAGCTGCATCTTGCAGGTAGAGATTGATGAAACTCTTTTTCTGCTTGTGTGTTTGTGTTTGTTCTGTTACCTGATCTTTTGTTGCTTCCGTCACAGGTCCGACTTCTTTTGCACCCATCATCGAAAGGGCCATGACAATTGTGGAAGAAAGTGGAGGGCAGTACCATGTTCTTCTCATAATTGCTGATGGACAGGTAAACAAGGATTTTGATTTTGCTACATTCATGATCCCATATTAATCACAGGATCTCTATAAATGTAAGGTGACAAGAAGTGTTGATACCAATCAAGGCGGTCTCAGCTCACAAGAACAAAAGACCATTGATGCAATTGTTAGAGCTAGGTAAATGTATCTCTACTATGTTAAAATTTGACTTATAATAATAACCTATGTGCTCTAAGTTGTGTTGCAAATGCAGTGCATATCCTCTATCAATAGTATTGGTTGGTGTTGGAGATGGTCCTTGGGATACAATGAGACAGTTTGATGATAATATCCCTGCTCGTGCCTTTGACAATTTTCAATTTGTGAATTTCACGGAGATAATGGCAAAGAACATTGATCCTGGAAGAAAAGAAGCGGAATTTGCACTGTCCGCCTTGATGGAGGTCCCGTCTCAGTATAAGGCCACCCTCGAGCTCGGCTTACTCGGGTAAATTTCTTGATTCTGATTAAGGGCAATACTGTAACCTTTGTTACAACGAAACTCTCTAGATAACCAACACCATGATCTTGTTTCCAAATTTGCAGAAGAAGAACTGGAAAGTCTCCAAACAAGATTGCTCTTCCACCACCAATTAGTGCTACTAATCCATTTCTAAACAACAGCTCGAAAACGTCCTGGTCAAGCACTGTTGCCACTGCACCGCCTTTATCAGCTGCCAGTAAAGAGAGAGAGGTTTGTATATCTGACTTAAATCCATAAAGGAAACAGGCAATAATCAATCATTAAGTAACCATCATTTTCGCATAAATTTCAGAATTGTCCCATCTGTCTGGTTAATACAAAGAACACGGCATTCAATTGTGGCCATCAGACTTGCCATGAATGTGGACAAGACATTGATAAGTGTCCCATTTGCCGTACCACTATCGCAGTTCGTATCAAGCTCTATTGAGAATGATTATCTTCAACAGATCATCGATCTACCTCGAGGTGAACAATACCCGTTAATTTTTCTGAGGGCTTCACCATTGTTTCTATCTCTAGGAGAATAAAAGATTTTAGTGGTTTTCCATTTATTCTTTCTGTACATAATTTATTTGGCTTTTCGCATTCTCACTGCACTTTGTGTTGCGTTTGGATTGAACACAAAGTGCAGTGAATTAGCTTTCATTATCATAAGCTTTAGAGCTTTTTTAATAGACATTTCATGTACATACAATTCGTGTTACTCTCATCTGTCCATTGCTTGAAGTAACTAGGAGTGATGCACATAAAATCCAAACCGAATTAGTTAAAATAGTGTTTTTAGTTAAACATATCCCACAACAGATTTGATACTAATAATAGATAGATTATCGCTTAACATCAATTATTTACTAGTACTATTTTGTTATCGCGAAACCGAATCGATATTTTTCAAACCGAACTACCTTACCAGTCGCGGGGCTGGAGCATAACACGCATACCGTTCTTCATGTACAATGTGGTGGTGAGCTTTGGAACAATCTCTTGTCCGTGGACAACTCTAACCGAATACCTCATCAAGATTGCTGCAGCCACCATTTTCATCTGTGTATACGCAAAATTCTTCCCAACACACAGCCTTGGACCTCCGTTGAACACAACATACTTGAACTGATCTCCGCTCACAATTCTTCCTTCTTTGATCCATCTCTCTGGTTTGAAGTCTTCCCAGTCATTTCCCCAAATTGATTCTATTCTCCCCATCGAGTAGACCGAGTAGTGAATCCTAGCGCCTTTCTTCACCCTTGTCCCATCGGGCAACACATCATCTTCTAAAGCTTGTTTCATCTCCATTGGCACCGAAGGGTAAAGCCTCAGTGACTCTGTTAAAGCAGCTTGCAGATACACCATTTCCCTGAGCTCTTCAGCCTCAAACTGATCCTCGGTTTCTTGTGTTGTAAGTTTCCCTTTAATCTCTCTGATTTCGCTTAGGATTCTCTTCTCGACTTCAGGATGATTCTGAACTAGCCAGAAGAACCACGAGAGGGCCACTGATGTAGTGTCTCGACCTGCGATTATGAAACTTGTGCAGAACTCTCTGAAGTACTTGTCTGAAAAGTAGTTTCCTCTAGTGGTACCTTCTTCTTTCTCGTACTCTCTCTGCATAAGGCGTGACAAGAGATCAGCGTAATCGTTCAAGTTCCCGAGTTTCCTCATCTTGTTCCTCCTCTCTCTCACTGTCTTATTCGCAAACGCGTGAACGATTCTAACCGCTTTCTTCAGCTTTCTTTCATACCCAATCCCTAGAAACCTCATTGGCTTCCACACAAAAGGAGGTATCAGAAACCTTGCAAGTGTATACTCCGTGGCTTCCTCAAAAGCCTTAGCGAAAGGAATCTCCGGTAAATCGGTCTCTAACGATCCTGGATAAACACCAAAGGCCGAGATACATATGTTATCAAAGGTAAAACGCAGGAGCAAATCTTGTAGATCAAAGACTCTCTTAGAAGTAGACAAGTTCTCCATCAGCGGCACCAGCTTCTGGTCCACCAGATCTCTCATCGTAGTAAACGTGTGCTCCAAGAAACGAGAAGAATGCATCTCGGTTTTAGCCACACGTCTCTCTTCCTTCCAAAGCTCATCATCAGCGTTAAAAATCCCATCTTCAAGAAGATCACGAAACCTCTCTCTATAAAACGCACCCTTTGGATAGTTCTTGAAATTGGTTTTGAGAATGTGCTCGACGTTTGAAGGATCTGCGGTCATGATTCCGTAAGCCCCACCGAACCAAATTCCTCTGTAATGAAACGTCCCACCAGCTCTGACCACGCCTCTGGTGCACCAACTAAATAGATCGTGTTTGTTTAGGGCTAACATCGGTATGATTCCCAACACTGGCCACATCACTGGCCCGCCTTTACTCACTAACTTTTCACGCAAGTAACTAAGAAGAAAAAGCCCTACCAGAGCTAAAGCCACGTCCGATAACCTCAAGTGAGTGTATACCCATACTACCGCAGAAATCAACACGTTCATCTCCGTCACCACAGATTTTTTAGTCAATAGTGAAAAAAACACTTAAGGATTAAGCTCTTGGATGAGTTGCAAATGTAGTATTATGAAGGCAATGGTAATAAATAACCAAGTTAGAAGATACCAATGTTATTAAATGATCACACCAACTTCATTAGACCCTAATAGTTATAACTATTCGGATATATAGTTTTACTGAATGAGGAATCATAATTATCATAGTGGGGTTAGTTGTAGCAGTGTACTGATTATATAGCTTATACAAAAATGTTAAGAAAGTAACGTGTTTCACAGAAATATACACTTTGGCTGATTACATGAACTATCCTAAAATGTATCACGCAATGTTAAAAAAAATTTTTTTGCTGAAGATATTATCTTCAACATGATGGTTTCACGTATGATATTTTTATTTTGTTAAAACATTCTTATCTTAGAATTGGAATCTATCTGGCCGGCTTTAACTCCCAACCACTTAAAGCGTAGGGTGAATTAAGGGTCGTCGTCTATTCTCAGCAAAAATTTCATCAATTATGTAATTAACTTTGGACGCGAGCGGAAAAAAGAGCTACAACTTCATGGTATTAATAATCATTAATAGTGGTCATTACGAAGGTATTAGCTATTAGGCATTAATTATGGCCATCTTTCCTAACCTCCTATACATAGCGATTGCCTTTTTGTTATGGAGTTGATTAAAAAAACTCTAACAACGTTGAAAGCTATTAATGTTATCACTTTTGTTTATGGGAAACAATGGAGATTAAAAGGGTAGAAATTGAACTAATTCGAGGAAATAATTTTGGTAGCAGATTATGGTTTGAGAATATTAGATAGCACGTGGTTACTATCCCTATTCTTTTCTATATATCTAATTTTTTCCAGCAAATTGGTAAAATTTAACGGTCGGGTGAATATATGAAATGACCCATTGGTGAAGCCCAATTATTTATCGGTTAGAATCTAAATATAATTTTGGGTGCTAATTGACAAAATTCTTTGTAAGTAGAACTAGAACGTTATGTCATATTGTCCATCAATCGATTTCATCCAAGATGCTAAGGAATTAACTTCTTACCAATTGTTAAGTTTCATGGGCGAAAGATTTCACATTGAAAAAATAGAGGAAAAACTTGAGTAGTAGGATTGTCAAAAAAAAAAAAAAACTTGAGTAGTATATAATATATATACATGGGTTAATCCACTCATTGCCAATTGATTTTGAATTAGAAACCTATAAAACTTAATACCAATTATCTTGCTTGACTAATTTAAATTCAGCACTCCACTTTACTCCAATGGATTACATCTTTCTTTTATTTTCCCCAATCCTTGAAAAAATATATGAGCTGGTATTATGAGCTATGCCAAGTGGGCTTACTCTACCAATAGGTTGGACCAACCTATTTGTCACGATATTTTCGGTCGTTGCTTTGTTCCCACACAACACAAATGACGGCCTAATTCTCTTGAATTATTTTCTGTATCGATTTTCAATCATCTAATTCATAAATGTGGCATTGTATGTGTGATATTTTTGATTCAGTTTATGTCGTCGTCTTTTCTAAATCTATTTTGTATTTCTTGTCAATACTTTTTCACTTAATAAATTAATAGAAGTATTTAAAAACTTTATTTGACTTCTACGTTATGTAAAGTTTGAGCAAAAAATTGGATTTATGTAACTTGTATGGAGCTGTTCAATTCTTTTTTAGAGAGGAGTGATTAATATAATATACTTTCATATAGTGTAGGAAAGTCTTCGAAATCGTTATTTAATTAGTTAACTTTCAGCGGTTGATATCTGGATTAAATATTTCATTATATATAGTATAGTTAAATCTTTTGTCAAACGTATTTTTAATTGGATTATTCCTACTTGCCGACAGTCAACGCTCATATTAAAACTTATAAGAACGCATGCATATACTATAGATCACCCAATTGTCCATAAATCTAGTGTGTGAAAACGTTAACGTAGAGAACAAAACTTCAAATTTAGAAGTTATTATTGATTCCTTTTCGTCAAACAGTAGGGTACTTACTGATTAGTATTAAACTTGATTTGTGAGACAGCACACACCACAAATCAGTCCACAATGATATCGTAGTTCACTAATATAAAATCTCTTTGTATGTATGCACGTAACGTATGGATATCTATAGATTTAAAACCAAACAAATATCTTTAGTTGTTTAACTATAGGCTTCTATATATTTGTCACCTTCTACTTAACTTATCTGCAGCAATCGAGACGCACACACATGAATCCATTCCAACAGTATATTCGAACTTAGCCGATTCTCAAGTTTTTGGTCTGAGGTCGTAATCGGGAACCCATCCTCTCCACTAAGTTATAAAACTACAAAAGAAACCAAAGTTTGGGCCACTTGATCTTGGATTTAAGAGAACAAAATTATTGATCGATGTAAGATCAATATCTTTAAATTCTAAAAAGGGAGTATATCATCATCATGATAAACGACTTTGTTTGTAATAAGACGAGACCAAGTTGGGCAACTTGCATGTCTACTTTTCATTCTCACGGTCACGTACACGTTCAAAGGTATGTGCCAAGTTTGTCAACTTTTGTCACACAAGATATGTCTTGTCTGCTGATTCCATTTCCTTGTAAAATGTGTGGTGGACAGTCTCATGTATTTGTCTTGATTTATACATATCACTATAGTAAAAGCAATATACTATGATTAATATAGATGTAATTAAGTGATTATTTTATAATATAAGTTTATTCTATTATTTTATAATATTTACAAGTATTTTATATTTATAAGTTTATTCTATTATTTTATAGTGCAATATTTACAAGTATTTTATATTTCTATTGATAGTTGAAGTATATATATTTTATTAGAAAATTGTTTCATAAAATAACAAAACAGCTAAAAATAATTAATGATTAATATAAGTAAGAAACATCATAGTTAAAAGATTTAAAAAAAAAAATTGTGGAACAAATTAAATCAATATTTGTTCTTTTAATATTTTGTAGGTTAATGACTTAGAAAAACTGCATATGTAGTCATAGAGGGAAGAAACATTTGCAACTTTCAAAATGCTTATTTATATCTATACAGTTTTATTTTTAAAACTTGGTTAGATAGGGCGTTCAAATTGCTCTCAAGAGAGGCACCTAGCTACAATGAGTTATGGTTGTTTGATTACGTGCCATTCATTCAAAAATAAAAATAAATTATGTGCCATAAATATGCCCCTAATCAAAAGCGTCAGTCATAAATTTGCTAGTCGTAGTCGACATTTTGTATCTTTGATCAGGACTCCCTATGCGGAAAAGGGATAGACACTGTTGGATCTCAACACAAAAGACGTGTTACTTGGATACGAACAAAGAACAAGTTATTCTTGTTTCATGTGTGGCCTTGGATGATTTGGAATGTTCACAATTATGTTGAAGCTCTAAGTGATGCGCGGTTGATGAACCGTTACGGTTTGTTTATCAAACACAGTCTAAATGTCTAATGAACCTGTTTTGGAGAATATAGGTGGCAATGTAACCATATATTGTTCATCACCCTGTCCGATGTCTTGACAATCCCGATCTCCTACTGAGCTTTAATATTCTCTCTTGAACTATTACAAAGTCCCCCAAACTATGGATCAAAGAGTACTATGAAAAAAATTTGTTTGCTGCAGACTATGATCAAATATCATTAAAATTTGTAAACGATAGTTTAATTGGATAATTAGTTGTATCGGCGACGTCCATATACTTGGACTCGAGTACTATTGATTTGTTGACAACAAGTTCTTTTCTTTGTAAAATAGTCAGCAACATGTTAAAGAATCAAACTGTACTTGTTTGACCGAAATAATGTAAAACTGTACTTATGTCATGTTATTTCCGAAAATTTATTTACATTTTACAAGTTGCATTTTGTGATCCATTTTACAAATTACGATTGGTTTTTAGTTGGTTTTTCCAAGTATATTTCTTCCTTTGAATTTATTAAAACTTTGTACTTCTTATTTTATGCAAAAAATTATAATTCCACTTTTGTGGTCAACCTATGAAAAAGAGATGTTTCACTGTCCAAAATTGTAGTTTTGCTCAATGAATGGACTACACTGCTACAGACGGTAAGTGATGGTGCCTTCAATAATATAAAAAGTTCGTGGCCTTAATCGTCCGACTCTACTGGAAGATCCCATTTTGTTTAAGTTAATGGCTAAACCAGTGTATATAATAAAATTCATTAATCGTAATTAAGCTAGAATCCTTGTTATATAGAATCAATAGAATTTTATGAAAAGCTAAAGAGTCAGTCACTTGCGAAGCAACAAAAAAAGTGTCCGGTGACACATACTTTATTGATATTAATATCGATTGTTTAGTGGACCCAGCATGTTAGTTATGAACTTATGACTTATGAGGCATGGGTACGGTTATGGTATAAAATGTCTGGTTCTTCTTGTTTGCTCATATTTTAGGCTGTTTTTCTGCAATGTATAGTAATAGTAATAGTGTCATCTTATCTTCTCCACCTCTCATCTCGACTAATAAAGTACCTTTTGTCTTGTTAAATCTCACTTCGTTTTTTTTTAACAAATACATCAAATATCTTTTGATTTTATAAAATAAACATAATTATGATATTCTTATCCACCCTCACGGGCCATTTGACTTCTTGTTTTGGTGTAACCCAACCAATATCTGTCTTGAAAAATCTCACTCTGGTTCATAGACTTTTGCATGCGAATATTATAATGATTCCAAACGTAATTTAAAAGTATTATTTATCTGACAACCAATCACAAACCTATGAGGAATCTAGCTAATACAGGATATAAGCAAATTTATCATACATCACCCCCATAGATTTCCCCCAGGTTTCAAGGTGGCATAGGCACATCTTCATTTCTACGCCTGAATAACATGTGCAGGTGTGTCCACTTGTCCAATTTTAATCTATTGTATTTGTATCTAACCATTGATAATCATATTATTCTACCAACATTATTGATATTTGATAACCATATTATTCTGGTAACATTATTGATAACCATGTTTTGTGTATCATTATTGCTAACCTTAAAATGCACAAATATATAATGCTCAATAATTTCTTACTCATTTTGTGTAAGTGACTTTTAAAAAACGCCAAATTTTTATACCCGCCGAACACTAATAAAGTAATAATAAATAAATAAACACACAAAAAAACAAATTAATCCCATTAATTTATTGAACGAGATTCGTGTAAAATGAATTATCCGGTTTGGTGACGGACACCTTCCAACATTTAACCTCTCCGTCAAGACTTCCACTAACGATCGAAACGACATCGTCTAACTCCTTTTCTCTAACCGCCGCCAACGACTTAACCGGCTTGGTATGACCGGAAAGAACCTCCAAACAACTATAGCTAGAATCGGGTCCACGTCGCCAAATTCTGACCGTCCGATCCGCTGAACCACTTAGTAGCAAATCAGAGACGTTGAACAAACTGAGTATTGCTTTATCATGTCCCCTCAAAGCACCTCTCACCGCCATGTAATTGGAAGTGTCTTCTCTCTCCCAAACCAAAATAGACCGGTCACACGAACCGGAGAATAAAACCGATCCGTCGTCGTTTAATGCCAAAGCGTTAACCGCCGATTTATGCTTTTCTAAAGTCGCGACTAACGTGTGACGTTTCTCACCGGTCGGTTTGGCCCACACCCGGATACGTCTATCCGCGGATCCAGTATAAACGGTGCCGTTAGTAGAGACGGCGACGGCATTAACGGCGTCATCGTGTGCTTTGATTGACTCTTTGCAACGAAGATCAGAGGCTCTCCATATCTTCAAGGTCTTATCCCAAGAAACAGAGTAAATGAATCCGTTATTAACGGCGAGAGCGGTGACGGCGTCAGCATGTTCGATCCAGAGACGTTTCTTATGACGGCGTACTTGAACGTAGTTTTTGGGAAGAGCAAAACGTCGTACACGGTCGTTTAAAGTAGGAAGCGTCGTTAACTGTTTATAACCGCTTTTCGCCGTTAGTTTCCAAACTCCGATTTTACCGTCTTGATGCGCCGTGAAGATTTTCTCACCGGAGAAGCCGACGGACTTAACGGTTCCTGAGAAAGGATCTTGGCCGTTGAATGTGTCAAGATGAGCACACATGTCACGATCGTAGATACTTACTTCGTGTCCAGAAACGGCGAAGAGATAGCCACCGTTGACGGCGAGACAAGTTACAGGAAGACTCCGTTCACGGAGTTTAAACGAGGAGGTAACGGAGTGAGAGACGGTGACTGTGGTAGAGGGGATTTTCTGAAGAGAGGGAACTGAAGGGAGCGTTTGGAGAGAGAGACTGCTATGGAGGCTGCTTGAGCCGGTCGTTACGTCGCTGAGTGATGAAGATAACGTGACGCTTTCGTCGGAATCCAAATGCTTCGGCGATTTCGGTATTCGTCTTCTGTCGGAATCGAACAGCTTTGAGATAATCCTCATGGTTTCGATGTTTGGTAAGAACTAAGAAGAAGGTTAGGTTTGTGTCGGAGAGATGAATATAGAAAGAAAAGAAGCGCGTCGTGCAGAGAAATTACGCCACGTGGCAGGTAAGCACAGAGCGGTGCTTACTAATTTTCTGGGTGTTTTCTTGAACTAAAAAGATTGATTGTACATTTTTGTACTTATAGACGACTAAGGGGTATTATAGTAAATTAGAGAGCCAATAAGTCAAATACGTACTGAAATACCCAATTTGTGTGGTAGAAAGAAACAAGAAGTAAGAAATCAATCAAAATAAAGGAAGGAGATTGGGTTTTGCGTTACAGCATTGATTGTAAAGAAACCAAACTCGATAGTGCTTAGCACTAGCCCAAGACCGTAATACCCGAGAAACCCGATATAACCAAGATAAGAAACCCTCTAAGTATGATAGAAAATTTGGAAGAACAATTAGAGATTACTTGAAAGACTTTTGGAGAGACTTAGAGAACTTTTAAAGAGTGTTCTTTTATTTGAACTTTCTTTTTATTCACTTGTTCAACTTCGTTACAAATGAGGGGGTGAGGAGGTATTTATAGCCTCCAAAGATAGTTTACAAAAGTTCTAGATTATTCTACCATCATCTCTAAAACTCTACTAAAATATCTAGATTTTATCTTACAACCTTCTTGATTATTCTACATAATTATCTAAATATCTATCTAATAGAATTCTCTAGAACATTTAAGGAGGTGATGATTTTTCTATGATGCTCTAGAGAAATCTAGAACTTAAGCTTAACTTTGGGTTTTGTCCAATATAGAATATTGAATTATAAACCCATAATTAAGCTTAACCCAAAATCAAGTTTAACTTCAATACTCCCCCTTAAACTTGATTTTGTCAACCATCCCAAGCTTCGAGCGAAGTAACTCGAATTGGCCTTTTGGTAATGACTTGGTGAAGATGTCCGCAACGTTGTCCTCACTTCGAACTTCCAAGGCTTCAATTGTTCCATCAAGAACCTTCTCCCTTATGAAGTGATGTTCTAACTCAATATGCTTTGTTCTTGCATGAAACACCGGATTGTTAGCTAACTTGATAGCACTTTGATTATCTCCGTAGATAGCCACCGGTTTATTTATAGGCTCGAACAAATCTTCAAAGAGTCTTCGAAGCCATATACACTCTTGAGCAGCGAGTGTGGAAGCTTTATACTCCGCTTCAGTGGTAGATAGCGACACCGTTGGTTGTTTCTTGCTACACCACGAAATGCTTGTGTCTCCACATAAGAACACATAGCCCGAAGTTGATTTTCGGTCATCTAGATCTCCACCAAAGTCAGCATCTGTAAAACCATGAAGGGAAATCTTTGCATTGTACTTATACACCAAGCCCATGCCAAGAGTTGTCTTGACATACTTCAAGATCTTCTTTGCCGCTTCTAAGTGTGGCTTCCTTGGTGCTTGCATAAACCGACTTACAAGACCTACTGCGAAGGCAATATCAGGTCTTGTAATGGTTAAGTATAGAAGACTTCCCACAAGAGCGCGATAAGGTCGAGCATCAAGTAACAATGAACCTTCATCACGTCTGAGCTTGATGTTCACATCCATCGGAGTAGTGCGCGTCTTTCCTTCGTGCACCCCGAACTTCTCAACAATCCTTCTTGCATAACCTTGTTGACCAACGAATATTCTATCCTTTACTCTTTCAACCTCTAGGCCAAGAAAGTTATTCAGCTCACCCAACTTCTTCATCTCGAACCTTATCGACATGTCTTCTTGTAAGCGAGCAATTTCTGCATCATCATTCCCGGTAATTATCATATCATCCACGTAAAGAAGAACTACTACGTGGACTCCTCCTTTCTTCTTGAAGAATAGACTCGGGTCAGAATTTGATGCCTCATAGCCGCAAAATTGAAGGAACTGAGCAACCTTTCCATACCAAGCTCGTGGAGCTTGTTTTAATCCGTACAAGGCCTTTTTCAGCTTGCACACATGATCAGGATGCTCTCGTGATTCGAAACCAGGTGGTTGCTCCATGAAGATACTTTTATCAAGCTCACCATATAGAAAGGCATTCTTCACATCAAGTTGCCATAACTTCCAACCAAAGCTTGCTGCTAAGGATAAGAGTGAGCGTACCGTAGTCATCTTCGCCACTGGACTGAATGTCTCATCATAATCTTCTCCATACTTTTGAGAGAAGCCCCTAGCAACCAACCTTGCTTTAAACCTATCAATGCTCCCATCCGCATTTCGCTTAATTCGATAAACCCATTTGCAAGAAACGGGCTCAACATCCTTGGGTTTTGGAACTAAATCCCAAGTTTCATTTTTCTTGAGAGCACTCATCTCTTCCTTCATTGCAGCCTCCCATTCTTGAACTCCTTTGGCTTCCTCATAAGAAGATGGCTCATCATCATCTAAAGGAGCTGCGAAGAAGCATGAATAAGTAGTGATGAATTCTTCATCTCTATATCTTGCAGGCTTAACAATGTTTCTTTTCGGCCGTTGATTGACCATTGAACCATGATCTTGTTCCTCTTCTTCTTCTTGGTTAGTGCTCCCCCTTTCACCTTGAATTTTATTTCCAGGACTTCCACTCTCACATGGTACTTGGAGAGTTGATTCATCGATCTTGGAGGAATTTGCACCATCTTTTTCAACCAAGACTTGAGGTGGCCCGTAGTATGAAGAAACTTCATCAAAGATAACATCACGAGACACAACATACTTGTGTGTCTCAGGATCCATACACCTCCAACCCTTCCTTTGTTCATCGTAGCCGACAAATATGCATTTCTTCGCCTTTGCCTCCAACTTAGTTCTTTGTGAATCAAACACATGGACGTAGCAGACTGATCCAAATATCCTAAGATGCTTCACCGTTGGCTTCTTCCCGTGAACCATCTCATAAGGAGACTTCATATTGTTTGGACTAAGTGGCATCCGGTTGATGACATAGGCAGCACATCTCATGCCTTCCGCCCATAACGCCTTAGGCAAATCTTTTCCATGGAGCCAACTTCTACATGTCTCACTTAGATGTCTGATCTTCCTCTCTGCTACTCCATTTTGTTGAGGTGTATGCGGACATGTAAATTCTCTCTTGATACCATTATCTCGACAAAAAGAGAGAAACTCCTTAGACATGAACTCCCCTCCATTATCCGTCCTTAAGGTCTTGATCTTCTGACCTAACTCCCCTTCCACGGTAACCTTAAATTCTAGAAACTTGGAGAATACTTCTGATTTTTCCTTCACAAAGTATACCCAAGTGTACCGTGAGAAGTCATCAACGAACAACAACATGTAGTGATACCCGGAATATGAGGGTGTTCTTGTCGGGCCCATCAAGTCACTGTGGACCCTCTCTAACGGAAAACTGCTCCTTGAAGTGGAATAGTCAAATGGAAGCCTATGAGACTTTCCATATTGACATCCTTCACAAATTGTGCCTTCATCTTGGATCTTCAACTTTGGGAGCCCGTTCACCAAATCTTTATTCACCATAACCTTGAGCTTAGTCATATTTATGTGACCAAGCCTAGCATGCCATATAAAGACATTATCGTTGGTACTCATCTTCTCCACATAAGAGTTTGACGCCGATAAAACGTATAAGTCTTTAACCCGTGCTCCAGTGTGAACCACGTCCGCCTTTAACTCTTGGATATTTTTTAAGAATTTAACATCCCTTGGGCCAAATAAAACATAGTTACCTGAGTCCACCGCATTTACCACGGAGAGAAGATTCTTTTTTACTCCAGGAACATGGTAAACGTTCTTGAGAGTGATTGGGCTTCCATCATCTCCTTTGATGACCACCGTTCCTTCCTTCTCAACGTGATGGATTGAATTATCCGCGGTAATGATTGCTTCTTTTCTTTCATGGCGTTGAAGACTAGAAAATAATTTCTCGTCTCCGGTGATATGATGGCTACAACCAGAATCTACGATCCAATTATTTTCCACCTTCTTAGGTGTAGATGTACTTGAAGATGCAGCCTCCACCGTAAAACATTTTCCCCATTCGTCGTCTTCATTATGATCTTTTGATTCCGCCATGTTTGTTTCCTTCAGCTTGACTCGGCAATCCTTTTTAAAATGCCCAAGTTTTCCACACCGATAGCACTTGAATTTCTTCTTATCTCCCTTAGAAGATCCTTCATGTCCATCATTGTTTCTTGGACCACCATCATTGGATTTAGCTTTGAAGTTGTGTTGCCTCCTAGCTACAAAGGCGCTCCCCGAGTCATCATGAATTTTGACTCCCGCCATTTGTACAGCTAGTGATTCTTGCGAAGCGAGCAAATTTTCAAACTCCTCCAAGGAAGGTTGTGTAGCCCATCCTTGAACCGAAGTCACAAACGGTGTATACTCAGGTCGTAGACCTCGAATAATAAACCGTTTTAACCGAGCATCGGAGATTGATTCCTCCGGATTAAGACTATTGATCTCAGAGCAAAGGTTCTTTACCTTGATGAAAAACTCCGAGATTGAAGACTCCCCCTGCTTCGCATTCGCCAACTCGTTTTCTAACAATTGTAGACGAGCTTCGTTCTTCTTGTTGAACAATCGATCTAACGCTTGCCAAATTGAACTAGCGGATGTGCACCTTGAGACATGCTCAAATACTCCCGAGGATATTGACCTCTTTAATGCAAACTCCGCCTTGGCATTTTTACGTGTCCACTCCTTTGTCGCTTCCGCGGTTGCAGCATCTCTGGTAGGTGGTGAAGTATTACTTCCGCCGACGACATCCCATAAGTCTTCACTAACCAAGTATGACTCCATACATGACTTCCATAACCGGTAGTTAGATTGGTTTAAGATCTCCATTCCCAATCCAACAACGCGACCCATAGATTCCATACTTAGAGTAAACCCGAGTTCTCTATCACACCGATCTTGATGAGCACAAGATTAGAATGGCTCTGCTACCATGTAAAGAAACCAAACTCGATAGTGCTTAGCACTAGCCCAAGACCGTAATACCCGAGAAACCCGATATAACCAAGATAAGAAACCCTCTAAGTATGATAGAAAATTTGGAAGAACAATTAGAGATTACTTGAAAGACTTTTGGAGAGACTTAGAGAACTTTTAAAGAGTGTTCTTTTATTTGAACTTTCTTTTTATTCACTTGTTCAACTTCGTTACAAATGAGGGGGTGAGGAGGTATTTATAGCCTCCAAAGATAGTTTACAAAAGTTCTAGATTATTCTACCATCATCTCTAAAACTCTACTAAAATATCTAGATTTTATCTTACAACCTTCTTGATTATTCTACATAATTATCTAAATATCTATCTAATAGAATTCTCTAGAACATTTAAGGAGGTGATGATTTTTCTATGATGCTCTAGAGAAATCTAGAACTTAAGCTTAACTTTGGGTTTTGTCCAATATAGAATATTGAATTATAAACCCATAATTAAGCTTAACCCAAAATCAAGTTTAACTTCAATATTGATGAGGTTGGATGGTAGTGAATTGGCAGTATGGGTTAAGGAAAGAGTAGGACCCAAGTAATTATGAGCCGATTGTATATTATCAATGCCTAAATTACGATTAGGTTTATGAAGAAGATATTAATACAGTAGAAGTGTTTTCTTGAATAGTGGTGTGAGTTGTAATAAATGCGTGTGAGTGCATAAGTGGGAAACTTGGACGGAAATGATTATGAGAATGGTCACATCCGTTGCTGGAAAGTGGAAAAGTGTGGCTAAATAAAGAGAGACACAATGAATTGGGGGTCAATGTCAAAACCGAGCTATTATTTAATAGCCGATCGATAACCAAATGATAAGAAAATTAGTTTTAGAAAAATAAGTAGGACAGGTCGGAGTCGGTCGTTGTCGGGAGTGGACTGGGAAGCAGCAATGAGACCGAGATTGCCAGCCCAAAATAGTGAAAGGTTAGTAGTAGGAAGGCTCTTGCGTCTTTCTCTTATGTTTCTAAGATTTTGGTTATGTTTTATTCTATATTTTGTTACTATTCAGATTATAAAACTTTGCAACTAAATTTCTGTGCTATTTGTATATTTTGTTATTGAATGTGCGATTAAATTGTATATGATTACCACTTGGCATGATTTTGTTTTGAAGCTCTTTAAGTCTTTATTATTACGTGTGAGTGTGACTAGTTCATTCCTTACGTGAAATGAAATAGAAAACGGTATTATTAAATAGAACACAAATTCCCCTACCAAAAATAAAATATTAAAATAGAACACAAATTTGTGCGGAAGATGTGAAACTGTTGTTTTTGACTGATATATCCTTTACACAAAAGTTCTTGGCACTGTAGAAAAACATGATTCAGGAAGGAAAAATGTATTCTTTTGTTTATTTTAACCACGTTTCCACATAAGATTCAGCACTCGTGTTTGAGTTTTAAATTTCTTTATAGTGCATACAACTTTTCTTTTAAAAAACTAAAGTAAAGCTTCTGTAAATTAATATTCAATAAATTACCACATTTTTTCGATTCCAAAATAGTTTTTTCAGATAAATTAATATATCGATAAATTCCACTAGTATATAAATAAATAAAATATTGTAGTTTCAACATTATTAATTTATGAAAGTTTTATCGTATTATGTGTTTAGTTTTTTTTTGAAAAGAAATTTGGCAATACTATTGTAATACCAAATTTGTTAAATAATGTGTGATTAGTTTGTTTAGCAATTTGGTACTACTGTTTCTACAACACATTTGTAGGCGTTCTTATTGAATTTCAGAACTTTGTTTAAAATACCCTTATGATTTGAAAAGTATATATAGTTGAATTAATATTAGATATTTGTAGGAAAATTAAGATGTGATTTTAAGGGTTGATGAGACCATTGTGGGTGGTGGAATAATTTTGCTTAAGTTGAAATGAGAATATTTCTTTTATTTTATTTAAATTTTAATGAATATATCATAGAAGAACAACATTCTCGAGAGGTTAAATATCTTGCAACAGGTTGTCAAATTCGAAGAGCACTCCTATGCCTTTTTATCTCTTTTACTTTAAAATTAGTACTTTTACATGGTCATTTCAAAAACTTATCTTTAAATCGTTGAACGAAATTTTCAAATATAATAAATATCTGGACAGTCAGTGAATATGGAACTTTCTCTATCAAGTATAATATATGAATATGAGAATGATGCTTTGTATAGTTGATAATTGATAGGAATACCCCAAATACGAAGTGGTATTTTGATAGATAAGACCCCTGTTCTAAAAATCGGCCGCCTAGGCGCTGATCGGATGGGGACCGCGGCGATTTTGTCCAAATCGGTAAAAAAAATCGGTGATCCGATTTTTGTCCGCCTAGACCGCCTAGGCGTCCGCCTAGCCCGCCTAGACGGCGCCTAGCCCAATTTTTTTTTTTTTTTTTTTACTTTTTTTTTTTTTTTTGATCTAAAATTCAAAACGTCCCACTTATGTTCATAATTTATATAAAAATCATAAGTTTGACCTTAAATTCTTGTTTTCATGTGTTTAATATAATTTTTTAAACAAGATTATATAAATTTCTTATTTATAATGGATTAATATGTTTTTAAAATATTAAATAGCCTTAAAACTAGTCCCCGATTAATCCCCGTTTAATCTCCGATTTTCTTGCTAGGCGCTAGGCCCACCCTCACCGCCCGACTAGCGCCTAGCGATTTTTTAAACAAGGGATAAGACTAAAGAGATCCTAAAGAAAGAAAAGAGATCGAAAAAGAAAAAAAGAAAAAGAAAAAGAAAAGAGGTATTATTAGTTGAGTTTAGGACCAAAAGTGCAACACACCAATACGAACCCGTATACACTACGCGTACGGTTTCTTCACTCCTTCAATGGGTCCCTCGCTGAGCTTCTATAGTGGAAGCTCCCCAAACCCAACCATGAAATTGGCGCCTCATCACATTCACACCTTTAAACTTCCAATGTAATAAAAAAAAAATCTGGTGACAAAACTTATCTTCAATCTCCCAGACTATAACATATAGTCGTTTAGTCTGTGTCCCAAAATGAATGAAACAAATGTAAGCATTTTGATAATTAGGATTTTATTCAATGGTTACAATTTTACTTATTTAATATGTCTTTTGCATTTTGAAAACCTGAAAAATCGTATACTGCTCAATTCATAATTTTGTATCTAACCACCGTTAATGATTTTTTTTTTTCAGTATTATTACAAAGACAACGTTTCTCTTAACAAAGGAGAAACAAATTACAACAAGATCATCACAATCATCCATACATATAAATTATCTTCTTTTAAAATAACCTTCTTATCATAACAAAGCCCACCTTAGAATAACAAGAAAGAACCGGCAATGGATGTAACACCAACGACGACCGCAGAGACGCCAAGAGCTGCCGCACCGCTGTCAGCAGAATCGGCAGAGCCTGAGGGTGCATTGGCGTAGGAGGAGTCACTTCCTAGAGGACCGGCCACTGCAACGTCACCATCACCAGGAGTGGGAGCTGCATCGTCATCGGTGGTTCCGATTTGGTCATCGGTGACTGGAGCCTCAACCTGATCGGTTTTGGAGGCAGCTGGAGCTTTGGAGGGAGACGCTGAAGGAGATGGAGAGGAGGCAGCTGCGGCGAGGCCAATGATGGCCATGAAGACGAGGGCAACCACGACGACAACGTTTTGGCGACCCATTCTTCTCTCTCTCCTTCTTAGGTAGAACTCGTTTAATTTATTTTAGGGTTTGAGGTTTATAGATTGTGATGATTTGCGGAGATGAGTTTGATATGTATATATAGTTGTCTTTTGTGATTAAGACAAAAGGAAAATAGAAAACGTTTGAACTACGATGTAGGCTTACCTTACAATCCAATGTACATCTACTGGAGTTTCTAAAAATAGATTTGCTCAGGTATGCCCTAGAGTTTGATTGGTGAACATCCGAATGAATATGAAACCATTCATTCAATATTTGATTATAGGACTTATGGTGGACTGAGAGACATGTAAACCAACATATAAAGACGATCCAAATTTTGATGGGCTTTTAACGATAAGCCCAAAATTCATGTTAGGCCCTTGAATACAGTTTCGATTTACGGTTCTGCCATCAACAGCGAGTTAGGGTTTTACAGTGAATACATATGATGCTCTCAAATCTTCAAGACATTCTTCTTCTCGTTTTTTCCCCATTTCAACTTTTTTTTTCCTCACTACTTCAGTAGGAGAAAAAAAACAAGATCTGTAGTTCGATCGGATCGAGAAGAGCTCGAAAATGGCGCTGGCGTTCGATGAGTTCGGGCGTCCGTTCATTATACTAAGAGAGCAAGATCAAAAGACGCGTCTTAGAGGAATCGATGCTCAGAAAGCCAATATCGCCGCTGGTAAAGCCGTGGCTCGGATCCTTCGATCTTCTCTTGGACCCAAAGGAATGGACAAGATGCTTCAAGGACCTGACGGAGACATCACCATCAGTTCGTTTCTTCCCTTTTGATTTTGGATTTTTAGTTTTGTTCTTCTATACTTGAAATAGGGTTTACTATGTTGATACAGTAGTTTGATGAATGGATCTATCTATGCTTTTGAAAATCGATTCGCTATGTCTGTGAACTTAGCTACTCAGCTTCACTAGTATATTTCTGCGGGCTTGAGTTAAATGCTAATGGTTTTAGAGATTGTTAGCAGTAGTTGCCGCTTTTGAGAGAACCAATGTTATTTTGTTTATAACCTCGCCATCTTTATGTTTTACAGCAAACGATGGTGCTACCATCTTGGAGCAAATGGATGTTGACAACCAGATTGCTAAACTTATGGTGGAACTGTCGCGGAGTCAGGATTATGAAATTGGTGATGGAACAACAGGTGTTGTTGTTATGGCTGGTGCACTTCTGGAGCAAGCTGAACGTCAGTTAGATAGAGGAATTCATCCCATCCGTATTGCTGAAGGGTATGAGATGGCTTCTAGAGTGGCTGTTGACCATTTGGAGCGTATTGCTCAAAAGTTTGAATTCGACGCTAATAATTTCGAGCCACTGGTTCAGACATGCATGACTACTCTGTCCTCTAAGATGTAATGTTCCTTTTTCATATTCGAGCTACTTTTCAATATTTGTTGCGTATATTTTCATGTTTTATATACTGTCTTATCTTTTTGTTCCTCATTGTTACAGTGTGAATCGGTGCAAGCGCAGCTTAGCTGAGATTGCTGTTAAAGCGGTTCTTGCTGTTGCTGATTTAGAGAGGAGGGATGTGAACTTAGATCTGATCAAAGTAGAGGGGAAAGTTGGGGGAAAGTTGGAGGACACCGAGCTTATATATGGAATACTGATTGACAAAGACATGAGTCATCCACAAATGCCAAAGCATATTGAAGATGCCCACATTGCCATTTTGACTTGTCCCTTTGAGCCACCGAAGCCTAAGACTAAGCATAAGGTGGACATTGACACAGTGGAGAAGTTTGAGACTTTGCGCAAGCAAGAGCAGCAATATTTCGATGAGATGGTTCAAAAGTGCAAGGTAGGTTCTAATTTGTATATATTTGTATTGTCATTTGGATGTTGAGTGAGCTACCGAAAAAGTGCTTTTGACAATGGTGATTAGTACCGCAATGCATTTTATGATATTTATTTATGAACCTTGTGCTTTAAAATTGCAGGATGTTGGTGCTACACTGGTTATTTGTCAATGGGGATTCGATGATGAGGCAAATCATCTATTGATGCACAGAAATTTGCCTGCTGTCAGATGGGTCGGGGGTGTTGAATTAGAACTTATTGCTATAGCCACAGGTAAGTAAAGTACTCCAAGCATCTACTGCTAGTGTTTTTATCAGTTATGCAAAGCTGATAAGAAAATTTTCTTTATGTAGGCGGTAGAATTGTTCCAAGATTCCAGGAGTTGACTCCAGAGAAGTTAGGGAAGGTACTTTTTACCTTCAGTAGGTGTTTCCAGTAAAATGAGTGGAATGCTAAATATGTTTTAAACAGACCATTGAAACCCAACATTTCCTGATATGTTTAGGCTGGCGTGGTTCGTGAGAAATCATTTGGCACAACAAAAGAACGAATGCTGTATATTGAGCACTGTGCGAACTCGAAAGCTGTCACTGTTTTCATCCGTGGAGGTAATAGCTTTTTCTTTTATAAATATTAGCAGCACTGTTTTGACTTTTGAATAGCTGATGAGAGATAAACATCGATGAGCTGAATGTAATGCCTTCTAAGTATATGGTGGACAATGATATTGTATAACTGATTGATCCAACGATTTGTTATGGAATATGGTTTAGGTAACAAAATGATGATAGAAGAGACGAAGCGTAGTATCCACGATGCCCTGTGTGTGGCTAGGAATCTAATCCGCAACAAATCAATTGTATATGGAGGTGGTGCAGCTGAAATCGCTTGTTCACTTGCGGTTGATGCAGCTGCTGATAAATACCCTGGCGTTGAGCAGGTAAAATATGATCTTTCCGATTTGAGCCTGAAGTGAAATAATTTGTTTCTCGAATCTTAAATCTGAATACTAATCATGTATATATACTTCCTTATACGCAGTATGCAATTAGGGCCTTTGCAGAAGCTTTGGACTCTGTCCCTATGGCTCTTGCTGAGAACAGTGGATTGCAGCCCATTGAGACACTCTCTGCGGTTAAATCTCAGCAAATTAAGGTAAGTAATTGATGAACTTTATTATCTATATCATTGAGTTGCTTGGTACGGTGACTCAACAAACACCGGATTTTGATGAACAGGAGAATATTCCCTTCTATGGGATAGATTGCAATGACGTGGGAACAAACGATATGAGGGAGCAAAATGTGTTTGAAACATTGATTGGGAAACAGCAGCAAATTTTGCTAGCTACGCAAGTCGTTAAGATGATTCTAAAGATCGACGATGTCATCTCCAATTCTGAATACTGATGTGTTGCTACCTTTGTAAACAAACCCTTTGGCTTCTTGGGTGTTTTTTTTGTTTGCTTTCTGTTAGCCTGACAATCATTATCTGTCACTCTTTCCCTTTGTTTAGCAAACTTTTGTTTAAGAACATCGTAAGATCTTTATTTTTGCGCCTTTGCCCACAGATGAAAACACTCGTTTGCATTTTCTTTTCAATTTGGTAACAGATGCACACTCGTCTCGTAGTAGTATAGACTAAACTATTATCGTTTAAGTGTAAAACAAGTGAATGAGGACAAAAGTAGTTTTGCTTAAACATCCTTAAGAACATAAGGAATATGAACCAAGCTTCTGTGGCTTACAAAAACCCATCCCCAATGGTCTTTCCGTCTTTGTACACAAATTCTAAACCTTAATGACTAATGTTTCGCACTCTTAAGATCTATAAACTTCGAACTCTGTTGCAGAGGGGCTAAAAGGACTGATTACCGAGATTCCTCCTCTGTCTTATTCAAATATCAATTCCTCTTTGTGTGTTGGGCTTCGCCAGGAGTGTTCCTCTTCTATGTATCATGAGAATGCTGTTGTTCTGTATCATGGCCAATGCCAAATGTCCCATTCGTAGTCTTCTCCTTAGATGGCTTCCCATTCACAGCTACGGTGCCATCGGATGTTTCTTCCGCAGCAGAAAGTTCTATCTCTCCATTATCTCCAGCGACAATGGCTGTATCAGGTTTTCCATCTTGTTCATGTGCTTTGTTTGTATTATGATTTGATAGAGCTGCTTCAGCTTTCTGCCTCTCTTCTTTTTCTCGACGTCTCTTTGCTTCTTGCTCTTTGAGAAGCCTAAACCTGGAAATAACATGCACGTGTTAGTACAAAAAACAGCTTCTAGTAACTAATGATGACACATTTCAGAAGATTTTGTCACCTTTCACCAGGTTTAGGGCCTTCTGAGGTCACCTTTTCACCACCCTTCTCTCTTGGTATTTTCAGTTCTGAAACAGACTTTTGAACTAGTGGCTCTGAAATAGACTTCTCAATTTTTTGTGTTTTATCTTCCTTAGTGACCAAATTAGTGAATTTCTCAACTGGATTCTTAGCACCACCATATTTTTGAAGCCATACTTGCTGTGCCGTGCTCAAAATGTTGTTGGTCAGCCTGCAAAAGCACTTTCAAACTGAGAAGAAAAGCAAGTGGAAAGCTGACCCCTCACGAAAAACACAGAAAACCAGACTCACCAATAAAGACTTAAACCAGAAGGAACTGAGAGTGCAAAATAGCCAATCATCAGTGGAAGAAGCTTTGTCACTGCTTGTGAGCTCTTCATGGCTGGATCATTACTCTTGAGAAAAAATGATAAGAAAATGGCACACCGTAAATTTCTATGTTGCACGTTGTTGATTGAAATTAGTTTAATGGAATGAGCTTTCAGCACATGTACCAATTTACACATTTTCATAACTAGCCGATAGTTCAACATAGACTTAACTACTAAATCGACTGTTATCACATATTCCATAAGATGCTATACCTGCGAAGACTGCATAATCTGAATGGATAGGTACTGAGAGAAGACGAGCAATAGAGGTAAGACAAGATATGCTAATGTGTCTGGCCATCCGAGAGGTGGGTGTCCCTCCTGAAAAATAATATGGAAATTTGTAGACATCAGCAATGAGGTCTTCAATCAGTTCATTTTAATCAGTTTAATATGCTTGAATAATTAACGTGTAGTTAGCAAGAACAAGGAGTCTACTCTAGATTCCATTTTCAAAATATCCACACTACTTAATATCAAGGTTCAAGATTGATACTTACAATGAAAGGAAACAGCCATGAGATTCCACTGCCATTCTGTCTTGCAGCAACAGTTGTAGGACCAGCAAGAGAAGGTATCCAGAAAAAACCTTCCGTTAAGAGCCCCTTAAAGTTAGAAACAAGCATCCAGAAACTTGTCAGAAAAGAATCTCAAGGCACTTACAGAAACAAGAGGATAAAGTTTTTATTTCAGGTACCTCATCGGCAACATTTGAGAGGGCTCTATACAGCCCAATCCAGACTGGTATTGTGGCTAGTGTGGGGAGGCAGCCTAACAGATAAATTGAAAATATAGCTTAACCATAAATGTTGTCTCAAATGGAAAAACAAATGAAAATCTGAAGCAACAAACTGTACCTGCAAGGGGATTTATTCCAGCAAGTTTATACAATCTGGCAGTTTCAAGCTGAATTCTCTCCTGCAAAGATAAAGAGGGCTCTACATTCATAGACAGTAAAGCTATAATATTTGTTATATTCATTAGTATCACTCCACAATTGTGGAACCAATAGCAACACACTTGTTCCTACTTTTTCCTTAAATCCATCAACTAAAAACTGATGCAAACATAACCTAAGTATGGCATCAGGACAAAGACAATCCATGTTTGCAGTATCGAAGAATGGGTTTTCACCTGATCACCGGCATACCGTTCCTGAATAGCCTTTATTTGAGGCGTCAAAGATTTCATTGCCATGGCAGATTCAACCTGTAGAGAATAACCCACAATTCAATGACATCCACTTAAAATGGTATCATGGCTTAGCAGCAAGAGAAACATACTAAAAACCTGCTTTTTCGTCAATGGGAACGTAGCAGCCTTAACAAGCACAGTCAATAGAATGATAGCGAAACCATAGGAATAAGGAACATGTACAGTTGATAACCCATCTTTCAAAACCTGCAGTTCAATTCAAATCCAACAAAAATCAATCATATAGCAACACAAAAATTCATTCTTTCTAAACAAAAAGACAAAACTTTATATACCTTGAGAATAGTTTCCATGTAATTAGCAATACCAGAGAACCAATCATTGTTCTGGTTTGTGGTGTTAGTAGTGCCAGCGACAGATTCAAAGGTTTCAGAGGACGAAACGGCGGCATCAGCGATCGTGTACAGGAGATTCTCGGCATGGTCCTTGATGAAATCGAGAGAGTCACCTAGGTCAGGAAACGAACCTGGTCTGAACCCGAATTGAGCTACGAGAGTACGATAACGAGACGAAGACGACGGTGTGTGGCTGAAACGGGAGCGGCGGAAATGGAGGACTCTGCCTGTGGAGAAAGAGGAGAGGATAAGGTGCGTCGGCTTTAGGGATATTGAAGAAGACATCTCTAGGGAGAAGAAGGTAGGAGAGTTTTAGGGTTTTGGTTCAGAAGACAAAATTGGGAAGGATTTAGATTTTGTTGGAAGTATTGTTGTTGTGTTCTTCTTGCTTCGCGTCTCAGTGCGTGAGACCAAACTGGGAAGTGGAGCAAACAAAATTTTGTTTTTCTGATTTTCTTAAATAAACAACACAAACTATATCACTTTTTTAATCACTTTTTATGTCAAAAAAAAAAAACAGACAAAAATCTCAACTTCCTTTTTTTTTTTTTCAGCTCTCAGTATTCGTTTTGATCAAAGAAAATCTCAAAACTATTTCATTAGGCAAAAAAGTATCTAATTCTACAATGACTAAACCGAGTTAGTCCTAACGTTAATCAAAATTAGCAAAATATTTAACAGCATCCGAAGCAACACCTACATACAATATGTTGTTGATACCCTTGAGGCCTTGCCAAAATGTTTTTTCCCTAAACAATTGTGGCTCCCATTGGCTCCCTACTCACAACTAATTAAATTCTACAACGCGAAGTAACACTAATATCTATAGTGGAATTTCGGTGAAGAAAACCATAGAGATAAACATTTAATCATTTGCCTAACAATTCATGATTGTTAGTAATTTTTGTATGATAACACATACGGTGAAAAGACACAAATTAGTATAAATTACATCTAACAACCAATAAATCAGGAAAAAAAGAATAACATAAATTGGAGGATGGTTTGGTGACTGGTGATGGATCCATATGTAGTAGAACTCGTCGTTATTTCCCATCATTCACTACTGTTGCATTTCCCATATTGTTTCCCACATTCACTTGTACACTTATATTCTGTTTGAGTGGCACTGCATCCATAAATAAATATTTATATATACATTAATTAATTCAAATAAACATAACAAGATCTATAGATTGTTTACTAATGAAAAAAAGGAGAATACATACTTTCTGATTCGGGGTGGCGCCTAGGTTTGATGAAATATTTCCAGGCACCCCAACCACCAGCTCCAAGAACCAACAACGACGGGAATGATATACCAAGAGGTAAAGCTAAGCTGCTGCTTTTCTCTCCTTCGGACTTCCCTGTAGAATCTTCATACACAAACTATCACATATTAGACAATTTCATAACAGTAGATATATATGTAAAACATGATAATAAAAGAATCATTAATTACCGGATTTGCCTCCACCACCACCGCCAGTGTTGCTAGGGGGGCTGCCACCACCACCGCCAGTGTTTGGGCTGCTACCACCACCACCAGGGCTAGGGCTGCCACCACCGCTCGTGCTTGTTGAATTCGTCCCGTTTCCACTTCCACCACTATTACTAATGACATAGAGCTCGAGAGCGTTGATGAGTGGGTTCAAATTCGAGTCTGGTGTAGCTTTAAATGTCAGATAGGGAAGCGCACTCTTCCCCACACCCCTCAAAGAAGCTTGCGTCACTGCCCCAAAAGGTGGCACAATTAGATTTGAACCCACTTGCTTGTCCTGATCATAGTAAACGTTGAAAGACCGCTTTTGGTCAGAACCAAGGCTTAGTGGTTCCGAGAAATAAATGACAATGTAAAATGTCACTCCAGAAAAAGGTAGCTTTATATCATAGAACGCCATGTCAGTCTTCGACCAAGAAGTCCGAAGGACAATCTCTGGTGGTCGATTGTCAGCTCCTGTTGTGTTGATAGAAGTGGCAGAACTTGTTAGATGTGAGGCAAAAACCGTTGCTGGCAGCCATATTCTATCATAAGGATCATATGGGGACCTGAAAATGTTTATGTTATAAATTAGCCATATATTTATGTTTTATTCATTTTATCTTTCCTTATCATGAAAGCCCGGGCCTTACCCTTGGCCTGATGCTAGAAACAAAAAAAAAGTTGAATTGATTTTTATGAACCAAATGCTAGTTGGTTATTCCTTGACTTTGGATCTACGTACGGTTAGTTTTCCAAATATAGTTAACTCCGGTTTAATTCTTCCATGAACAACATTGTATAAAGCAAACTGGTGATCGCTAGAGTAAGATCGCTGATCATTCAAAAAAAAAAGATCGCTGATTTTATATGTTTACCTAACTAATTCCTGCGCACCGTAGGCGGTCCTTTGCTGGAGGATGAAACCTTCCTTAGGGCCAAGATCGGTGTACATAGAGTCGTCCAACCTTCGTACTTCAATGGTGGACACAAAAGGGTGTTCGCTCGAAAGCGTACGGAAAAAGCAAACACTGATATTCCCGTTTTCAGGAATAAATATCGCCTCCGATTGAGTAACTCTTTCAAATGTCGTTGTGACGACCGAGTCTCGATGTTTACCATCATACACTACATCGAATTTGGGAGCCTTGGATTCTCCATCATAATCACCATAGAGGAATCTCGTTCTAACTAAGACTTTCCCACCTTTATCCACCGGAATGTTGGTGTAACAGTTGGTCTCTCCCGTAGGAAAATACCGGAGTGTGGTTAGAGAATCAGAGAATTTGGATATTAGTACAAATTTAGACGTCAAACCGGTGGTAACAAAGTCTGTGTCTCCCACCCACGTTCTGTTGTCTGCGTCAATGTGCGAGCTTGATGATCCACAGTCTATGCTTATGTCTGAAACCAATATCCACATCAAACTCAAATCAATCTTAATTACTTTGAAAAAGAAGAAAATGAGTTTATTAGTAAGTATAACGTAAGTTAAATAGCTAACCGGCTGCATTAGAAAGAATTATGATGGAAAAACTTAGGAGAAGGCAAATAAAAGAAGCTTGAGCCATGCTTGATTCTTCCTTCACCAAGAGACAAAAATGTATTTTCATGAGCTTATTTATACTTGCATTCTCTATATTAGAGGAAGAAATTACTCTTTTTAGGCCTACATTTTACGGAAAATATTATGAAACACCATATACTTTCCAATTGGTCTAAACCCTCCCTGCTTAGAAAGAAACATAATTATGAATCCCGAATATAATATATTTCATAGTCATGAAAACTTTATTGGCGTTAAAATTCCAAATCTAAACTTGTTCCTCGGAATTTAATTTAGAAAACAAACACTTTGCATTTTTTAAACACACATTATCTATATTTGATACGATCAAAACGTGGATCGAGGTAATGACACAAAATGGCACATTTATAAATATGAAATTGAAATGATTCGATGACAACAAAAGACCAATATAAGAATGTGCAAAGAGGTTCTAAATAATATTGTTAGTGGTAAAGGAATGTTCAAAGTAATTATAGGGTGGTTGACTTAGTTAGTAGACCATAGAAGTTGGGTGGGTCGTCCGACGTCGAAAGGGTACATCATACGTGATGTGGTTCCGACTAAACCAACAACGTTCGGAATTAGTTAAAATAATTTGTACGACAGCTTTTTGGCTAATATTATAGCATATAGTTGTAAGTATAATAACATTTCAATTCATCTTTCAATTTAATTTTTGAAAAGTATTGGCGCTAAATGGCAATATTAAGCAAATCCGTATTATCTACCAACAAAAATAAAATAATAAGCAAATCCGATCCGTACACAAATAAATTTCTAAAAGTCAGCCTAATAGACTTGACGTGGACTTCACTTGAACTTGTTTAATGGTTTGGGGCTTTGGGCCGTTTGGCGAAGTTCATTTATCTACATGGCTGGAAATAATTTAGTGTGTTTGATTTTAATTAATTAACATATGTCGTCTCATTTGACATTTGTTACCTCTTCTCCCCAATTCTTTTTTTTTTTTCTTCTATCTAGCTACCATTTTTTTAGTATATTTTTTCAAGAAAATTATCGTTCTAATCATCTTCAGACTTCGATAGTGGAAGTTTTTTTTTTTTTTCAAGACAAATACCAATAATATATTAGGTAGAAAATTATTTGGGATCATTCAAGGATATACAATATCATTTCTTCGAAATATAAGAGATATGTAAAGATAGATCATTCACTCCTTAATAATGTATACATCTAAAAATAGAGGTTCAACACACACTATTTTCAAAATAGTAATTCCACATTTGGTTCACACATCAAAATAAAGAAAGAATTTCTAAGATCATAACAATTTTTTTTTTTTCTTGAGATGTGTGAACCAAATGTGGAATTTTCTTCCATTTCTTGACAAAATATTTCGAATTTGCTACACATATCTCCACCGAGAAAAAATACATGTTAATTATAATCTACGAAAATTTGATAAATCCACGTTTTTATTTTTTTCAATTGCCAAGATACGACAAAAAAAGACCTCGATTAATCTGAACTAAGTATACATTTCACCTTAGATTTAGGGCCTGACTGGTTTAAACGCAGCGGTTGCGGTTGCGGTTGCGGGAGTTTGCGGAAGCGGGCGGTTGCGGCTTTAAGCGTTATCAAGCGTTTTGAACGACTGGTTTAGCGTTTGAAAATGAGTGCGTTTGCGGGAGTTTTATGACTGGTAAACCAGCGGGTGCGATAGCAGTTAAATAAAAAAATGACCAAAATAAATAAAAAATATTACAAAAAAAAAAAGAAATAAAAACACCAATATATTATTATGATAATATTAGAAAAATTTGAACATGCTTAATAATTAAAACCATAAATAAAGTACTAAATAATTATTCAAAAATAAAGAAATTTTGTAACAAGATAGTACTTTATGCATCTGGTTTAACATAAAAAATTGCATTAAGTAATGGGACAAACTGTAAATAACGTTGAATTCAATCAAAAAGCAAGTGAGTTTCTATTCGAGAAAACAAATCGAAACATATATTCAATCAAAAAGCAAAGCAATACGTAATGAAAATAAAAAAAACGATGCCATGAAAAATATTCAAAAAGTTACACATGAGGTGATGAATGAATAAAAGGATATATGATACTTACATTTGGTTATTGATTTTCATCAGTTTGGGTGGAAGACATTGAGAGAATAGAGTTTCTGAATATTATTAGGGTTTCTGATGAGAACGTGATACAAAGTGATACAAAGATGAAAGATATATATAGGATTAATATATATTATAACAATTATAAGTAAATGTTTGATTTTTTTTTTTTAATCCAACCGCTACCGCCCGCAACCGCAAACGCTTGCGGGAAGGAGCTTTTGAAATTCAGCGATTTCGAGCGGTTCGAAGCGGGACGGAGCGGTTTCTATGATTGGTACCAACCGCTAACAACCGCAACCGACCGCTAGCAACCGCTAGGAGGGTGCTAGCGGGAGAACCAATCAAGCCCTTAATAATAGCGCGACTTGAAAAACAAGCTAGAATAATGTTTAGGAGTTGAAGCTTAACATGACTAATGCCAGCCGCCAGGCAACTGGTTTTACATAAGAGTACCCAAAATCTTCTCTAAATAAGAGAATATATATATATATATATCAAAAACAAATGAAAATGATGAAATCGGAAATTATCTTTTTCCCACTTCACAGTTTACACTAATCTGGTAATCACTAGTAAATGAGCTGCATGCTACTTAAGCTAATCGACGGTTAAGATTAAAAGCTGCCTTTACACGCACTTTCTTAATCCCCTCCAACATCCTCATCATATATATTTTTTTTTTTTTTGCTAAATTGTAAATATTTCATAAAAATGAAAAACAGTTTAGGTTACAAACATGAATTTGAAACCTATACATATGAATCCATGGCAAAAATAATAAAAACATGGAAGCATAAAGACGGTTAATTAAAACCAAGTTTTCGGTCCATCTTCTCGACCAATGCAATGAAGCTGCGGGAGGAGATGAAGCGATGACGTTCATAGCTATTATTCTCGTATGTGATGCAAAAGCAAGAGGGCTAATGCTGATTGTTTAAACTCACCTTATTGCGACGAACCAAGAGCGCTAGAAGCCTTTCGCAGGAGGTCCGAGACCAAGCCGTCAATGGTTAACAACTCTAAAAAATCTTCATTGTAGTCCATGAGCTATCTCAAAAACGGAACCTCACACGCCAAAAAAGCTAAAGGTGCAAGCTCCCTCAATACCAAGTTCATTCCCCGAAGTCAGCAGCGCAGAGCTAGATAAAACCCATTCACCACCACACCAAAAGCCATTAGCCCTACTAGCTCCTCTAAGGCACAATACAACCGCAAGATTAAGGGGAGAAACGCAAAGCCAAGCTAACTCCAAAACAAGAGCGAAACAAAAGAAGCCACAGCCTAGAACAGGCCTTGAGCTAACCAAAGGGATGATATAACTGAGGAGCTCGCAAAAGAAGTGGGTAACTAGCTACCACCGATAGCTATAGCCACAACCAACAAACACCAAAGTAGCTACACGAAGGAGATAGAGAGCATCCAGATCGACGAAAGAGCCTAACCCGCCACAAGACACCACACTCCTAATAGTTCTGCTACTGTCCACAAGCAGAAGGGGCCAACAGAGACGCAAATCTCCAAAAACTAGACTCGACGAAGAAAACTAGACGAAACTCAGAAACCAAAGTAACCATTCACTGAATACCTAAGCGAAAGAGAGACAGAAAAGAGAGGCCGAGGCATCAGAAGCTACAACAGGTCGATGGAGATTACCGACCAAGGCTGGAAAACCAACCACATAGCCAATGAAAACCGCTCGATTCAAACTCTAACACACGATCGACACGCACGGAGAGGACAAAGGCTTCAGACGTGATGGAGGAAGTTGTCCTCAAAGCGAACCCCGCCACAGAGAATCCCAAATCTCCGGCAGACACGCATCGACACGCAGCGGAAAGACCAAGAAAAACTTGGAAAAATGGAACCGATAAGGAGAGAAACAACCATGACAAAACCATGGGACACGAAACTCACACCCGGGACCACCGGGAAGAAGGCAATCTGGGACAGATCTACAAACCGAGGCTTGCTCCGCCGCTTGAGATGCGAAACGCTAGGGCTGAAAAGACAGAGCATCCACCTTTGCCCACCACCGTCTACAGGCAGTGGAGGTAGAAGCACTAGGAACAGCCACCGGAGACCGGCCGTCTCGCACGACGGATCCTTCAACACTCGCCACGCGAAACAGAAACGAATCATCCCTCCAGAAAAACATCAAGAGCACAAAGAGGAACAAGGACCCATGAGAAACAAAAGAAGCCCTCTCACGGTGCCGATCGAAACCGGACAACCGGAGAGGCGAGATCACGGCGGATTAGGTTGTCTGCAGGAAAGCTTTGTCGAGAGAAAAATATTAGGGGCGTGTTAGGGTCACTGATTCGACATATTTATTCTTAAGTATTAACTAATAATCTTTACATAACCAATCATGACCATTCGACACGTGTCGTTTACGTCTTAGCTGAGATACTCTTAATTTGCCTTGCCTTCTAGTACACCTTTCTTCTCTTCCCTCCATTTTCATGCACCTGTTAGAGAGAAAGAGAGAGAAAGATTTGTGTTTGCAAATTTCTCATACGAGGAAATGAAGCAACCAAAGCCGATTCTGAAATACGTCTTGGTCTCTATCTTCTTCACTCTCCCTCTCATTCTCTTCTTCTCTATACAACTACGTAAACCCGAAAAAGAACTCATCAGGATCCGGCCCGGTTACACGTCTTACGATTACTACATCCAACGACAGCTCAACAAAACGCTTAACCCTAGGCTTCGTACTATATGGATGACACGAGATTGGGACCGTAAGATCAAAGTGTTCTCAAGATTCTTCCAAGATCTGAAACGTCAAGGCCTCTTATCCAACGACTCTAAATGTCTCTGTGTCGGAGCTCGAGTCGGGCAAGAAGTGGAGGCCCTGAAACGTGTAGGCGTAAACGACTCGGTGGGAATGGATCTGGTGCCGTATCCGCCGTTGGTGGTCAAAGGAGACTTTCATCACCAGCCGTTCGATGATGAGACTTTTGACTTTGAATTCTCCAACGTGTTCGATCATGCGCTTTACCCGGACAAGTTTGTTGGAGAGATCGAACGGACACTGAGACCAGGAGGTTTATGTGTTTTACACGTGGCTCTTTCTACACGGTCGGATAAGTATTCAGCCAATGATTTGTACAGTGTGGACGCATTGGTGAAGCTGTTTCGACGATCGGAGGTGGTTCATGTCAGAAATGTCGACGGCTTCGGGTTGGATACAGAGGTCGTGTTTAGGAAGAAAAGGGATTCATCCATACTAGTCCGGTCTTGAATTTTGTTCGTGCTTAAATTTATTTGTTTGTTTTTTATGTCACATCGAAATATTATTAAATAGAAAATTGTGTTCTAAGTTTTTTTGGTCAGGCCCAATGGGCCATATATTTATCCCACGAAAGGTGGAGGAGCCACTTGCTATATCCTATATGCAGATAAAAACTTGAAATATGATCATAAGCATTTTAAGATAAACTTCTTCTGCGAAGTCCGATAGAGAGACGCCAAGTATCAACGAGGTTATCCGGCACAAGTCCGACAAGAAACCACTGAAGGGAATGAGCCCAAAACGGCGAGCAACGTGATCCAATTCCGATCTGCTCCACCGCCGCTTTTGCGTAGACTTCAGGCGACGGTACAAAGAAGCTTGGTTTATCTATAGCTGCCACTTCGGACACCATCCTTGTTGCTACGTATAAGGGTACCTGCCCATTTGTTTTAAACACGTACGTGTATTATAACATTAATTTCTTTTACGTATTACCTGGGGGAGTACGAAAATATGATAAAATACATAATATATTGGATAGTCTTAAAAGACAGAAAAAGTACCTGGCACTGGACATCAATACCAAACTGCTTATATTCCACATGTAGAGATCTTGATAGTGCATCAACATAACTGCATACACGTCACACGTGTTGGTTCATGTGTTAGAGATTTATTAATGTCACAATCTGATTAGATAATATAATGATATAGTCTACTTAGATGAATATAATGATATAGTCTACTTAGATGAATCATTTAGCAAATTTTAAATCACGATCAATGCAAGATAGTAGTAATATTTACTGCAATGAAAAGGAAAGAAATAATATATTTACTGCTTTTAAAGTAAAAATGTTGTCATTTTTACAAACGACACTCTAATCTAGACTGAGGTTTTCTCATGTGATGATTATACTTCATCAATTACTTTTAAAAGCATGCATCCACCTAACTAATATAGATAAGAAAGTCACGTGTCTTAATTGGGGCCGGGAGATATACATCAATATATTAGGCAATTTTGGATCGTCAATGCTCAAGCTCCACACAAGTGCTAGTAAGCTTTTTCGTACTTATTATACAACAACTACCAAGAAAAGGAAAGAACGGAATGGAAACCTTAATCTAGTACTTTAGGTATGATTTATTAAATGTGCATTTGGACAGGAAAAAAAAGTAAATGAAAAGTGAAAGTGTGGTAAGTCCTTACGCTTTGGTTGCGGCGTAGATGGCGTAGAGAGGATGAGAAGGGACAACAACGGCAGCACCGGAGCTAATATTGACGATGGCTCCTCGGCGGCGGTGAAGCATTGGTCCGATGAGTGATCGTGTGACCCAAGTGGTGGATTCAAGATTAACCCTCAGGATTTTGGTCCATGTAAGTTGGTCAACCTCGTGGAAGAACATGGCCCGTGGATAAGTAATACCAACGTTGTTTATTAGAATCCCAACTTCAAGGCCTTTTATCCCTTCCTCGATTGCTCCATATCCTCCTTCTGCACATTTTTTCAACTACATCTTTTATATTCCTATATAGTTATTACATTTATTGAGTTCTATGTATATTTATGCGGACGGAAAATAGCTTAAAATTAAGGATCACAACATGACATTATAAATATGCATTAACTACAAAAAATTCTAGGTCAACTGGAATTTAATTATAGGATTCGAAACAATTAACAAATATATTTTTAAAAATATTTAAGTTTATGTTTAATCTTGTAATTGCATGTATTATTTTTTCCAGCAATACTGTATAACAAAGTCGAGTGTTTTTGCACTCTTACAAACACATATAATAAGTGTAAGTATATGTACTATTTTTTCAATAATCTCTGACAAACACACACCTATATACAATAAGTGTAAGTGTGTACTATTTGAAATGATTCATATTGATTATTGAGTAATGGTATATTTACCCTGGTCGTTGAAACAAGAATATTTATTCAAAATTGCAATCATGTACTAGTATCTATACGCACACACAATATCAATAACTATGTATAGACAGCTTTTCTTGTAGTGACTAGTTCTATATAGGACTGACTTAAATTAAGAAAGTGCATTTATTATTGTTACCAGAGGAGAAGTCAAATGGAATGATCTTGATCTTGATATGGGGAAACTCTTGTTGGAAATCATCAGAAACAGATTCGAGCTTCGAAAGGTTTCTGCTGACTAGGATGAGGTTAAGGCCGTGTTTGGCCAGCTCGTAAGCAAAGGCGCGTCCGATCCCCTCGGTGGCTCCAGTGACCATAGCCCATGAGCCATACCGCTTGAGCCGCTTGGGGTTTGTGAGGAGGAATCTGGTGATGAACCATTTTAGGAGAGGAATGAATAGTAATCTAAGGAGAGAGAGAAAGCCTATGAAGCATACGACATGGAGATGCCATGGCTGACTCTCGGAGATGCATGCTCTCTGCATGTTCTGCTTTCTCTTTCTTTCTTTATGCCTATATTTGTTAGCTGATTGTCATGACATTTTGGTTTGGAGCTAACTAACTCTTTATGTAAGAAAACTAGAGTTGAGAGAGAGAGAGAGAGAGATAGATTATTTTCCTTTGCTCAATCTTAATTGCTTTATACAAAATGAGTGAGTTTACAAAAAAAGACCAAGTCATCATACTATTAAGGATAATTCATCTTTAATTAATAAGAAAAAAAATCTAATGAAAAAAAGTCAGTGTGTTGCTCAAAACTCAAAATTCAAATACACAACAGGAAGAATATGATTCTTTTAGGTATTTGGTAGGTTGAGGTTGGGACATTTTTTTCACTATAAAAAGGACTATGCAATCAATTGGTGGACAGTCTTTTTGGTGCTCAATTTAATGATCTTGTTCCATTGCAGATTTTCAACATTAATCACGTTATTATATTGTTCAGCCAATTTAGCTCATTTTGTCCAACTAAACTAAATCGACCGTACTAATCAAATTTCGAAATCTCTTTCAGGTTTTCCTTTTCATCAATTTAATTCGATTCTAGTTTTGATCCATCATAGATGCAAACAAAAATATGTATAGTATATCTCTAGTCGCCTCTATTGTTTAAACTTTATTGACTAGCTTTTCTTGTTAGACCAAGTTAATTTATCTATTGCTTTTGGTTAGTAGAGGCAAAGCTTGAATACGTCAATTCCAAAGCTCTCCATCTTTGGGAATAGAGAACATAGTTAATAAGTGGTAGGTATGAAGTCAATAAAAGTCTCTCTCACTCTCTACTCTCGAAGTCAAAATATTAATGAGTCAAAATAAATAATACTACTATTCAAAAAACTTTTTTACAATAATTCGAAACTTAAAAAGTCGCTGCCGACACAAAACTTGTTAAGTAATGGAACAAATGTTTCACTTTTCTGAAAAACTTTGAGACACAAACAAACCCAACTGTAATAACGTACTGCTCCATTTCGGAGTCCTAATCGAACATTCTAGGACTAAGAAACTGAAGAACTAAAACAAAAAAAGCTCGCAGATAATCGAGACATTATTCAAGTTATATATACAAGACGACACCTATCATTCTCTGCTTACGGGTCGACAAAGAATGGGAAGAATAGAGAAGAGAGAGAGGAGAGAGCAATTTATGTGTTTCTTTTGTGTGTAGTTTCATGTGAGAGACCTAAGAGTCACCTGTCTTGATTACAAGATGGAGGCTAGGAGCCACAGATGCAATAAGAGACTGTATACCATTACGCCAAGCCTTGCTTGAGGACGGCTCATTAATACTCTTCCACCTGAGACCCTGTGTTGCAGAAATCAAACCCGCGATTAATAAGAGAAAATTAGGGAGAGCCCTTTCAGGACTGTTTGATATGAGTGAGTATTTACCATATTCCATCAACCCTATCTGCTATCATCTTTCCTTGCGTTGGAATCAGACCAGACATGTTGAGAGACTTGAAAACATGTCCTGCCAAAGAATATATGTGTTTAAGGTGAGTCAATTGAGCGGCTCGTATCATACTTTAAGTAATAAGGGAGATAGATATGTAGACGCCTGAGTCCTGACCTTTATCTTCATCTGTTTCGTTGTGGTTCATCAGATGCTCGGACTCTGAATCTATGTTAATTGAAAGATGATCCGTCGATCCCTTCCTCACTGTTCTCACTTGTGCTGCTGTAGGCACCGGTGATATTGATTTTATCCCCAAGGCTCCCTGAGCACAAAATGGGTTCAGTCCAAACTTGGAGATCAAAACATAGCAAGAGATTGAAGCTAAATGATTACTTCTAATATCACCAATCAAAATGGCAGCTACATAAACTTAGCTCCGGATAGAGTAGATAAAACAAGGGTCAAGGAATAAGCTGAATTAGCACGAAATAAGATATTACCTTGTCCTCAATCTCGGATATCTCTGAGGTAGAAGGTGCTCTCGGTGCTTCGAAGATGCTTCTTTCGTGAACAATATCAGGCTGAATCGCTTTGGTTTGAAGTTTCTCTTCAAATTCTTTGACTTTTAATGATAGTTTGTCGACAAGTTTCTCGCTACCGGCCAACTTTAAACCAAGTTCTTGGGCCCTTGATTTTGAACTCTCTGATTCTAGGAGAAGGGAAGTTATCTTTTTTTCTAGTGCTTGTACGAGTGTCCATGACTCGGAGAAGTTTGGGTCTACAACAGGTTCATTGCCTGCCAATATACCCAGCAGTTTTTCCAAGCCAGATATTAGCTTGGACAGTTCAGTCTTTGCCTTCACTAACTCTAGGTCGGTCGTACTCTCTGCTTCAGCCGCTTTCTTTAGACCTTGAATTTCAAGATCCTTTTCTGCCAAAGTGGAATTGAGCTCTTTTTGTCCATATGATAAGATGTCTATCTGATGCTGCATCTCAGTAACACTATCAACAATCGCGAATAGCTTCTTTACATCATATGGACTCTGTGGATCTAATCCGTTGACTAGATCTACTGAAGACACCTCAATACCATTTATTTTGTCAAAAAGGGCACGCATATCAGAAGGTGGAATTAGATTTTCCTTTGCCTCTGCAACTCGAAGCAACAGCACGTGACATTTTAGTAAAGTGGTAAACATGTTATGAAGATTTAAAGAAATGAGAGACAACAAAAGATAAAAATTACCTTGCTCTTGCACCAATAGTTTATCATATAACGTAGACAGTTCCACCTCTTTTTCATGCCATTTCTCTTCCTTCACTCTGAGATTTTCCAACTGAAGTTTCACGTCTTGGCAAAGCTCTTCCAGAGATTCCACCTTGGCCTCAGCACTTGAAACCTTAGTTTGGTTTAGATCTCTTTCTAATACAACCTTTTCTAAAGTGACAGATGCTTCTGTTAGTCTGTTCTCCATATCTCGGATTACAGCAGCAGCTGCATTATTTGTTGTCTCAAAGAGCTTAAGAGTGGCACATGCCTTTTCTGCGGCAGAAGATAATTCTTTTACTCTTTGGGCGCATTCACTTACATGAAGCTCCTGTGGGTCATCAGTTAATTCTATCTCACCACCGTTTTCGTTTTCTTGGAACTGAACCAACTCTAAGAGGTTATCTTTCACTTCCAACTGCAGTTCTCTGGCAGCCGCACCACATGCAGACATCAAAGATGACAAATCTTTTTGTAATGCAGATATAGTGTTCTCCTGTTCGCGAACAATATCTTCCACACTCCTCACCTGTTCTTCCAAGGACGCATTATGACCCACAATATTTATCACATCAGCCCTAGCTGCTGTCATGTTTTGCATCACCGCCGCTATGAGAGTATCAATGGAAGTTGAGAAACTCTCAAAGTTATTCTCGAGGGTTTTGTTTCTCAGCCTGACCCCCTCTGCCATCTTCCTAAGGGATGAAGAAATTTCGTCTTCATCAGCTGCACTCCCTTGACTATTCTCCGGCTCTGTGTTCACTGAATTATCAAGGTCACTCAACAACGATTTTGCCTCAGTCGAATCATCCTGGAAATATAACAGCGTTATCAAGAGAACAACCTATTAAAAAATTGGCCAAGAGAGAATTCGTAAATTCTAGCCCATCTATATCGACAAATGTTTCACAGAATAACAATTTCATAATATCTCCATTAATCAACTCCCACCAGAACAGATTCTAGGCAAACAACAAATAGGAGATCCCGATAGTTTAAGGCAACTTTGGAACCAACAAATATGCAAACAGGAATGATGAAGGGCAGTGGTAAATTTGATATGAAAAAAGTGAACTAACAGAAGAAAGATTGATTTGGAAAGGTAAGAGAATACTGTTACCTCAGCGTTGCCCATTTCCGCTGCCAGTAATCCCTTCTCACCAATATTTCGTGTGATATCTCTAGCAATGACATCCACGTCTCTAAGGCTCTTGAACTTCCTTTGAAGGAAATCATTCACTCTGGAAATTAGACCTCCATCCTTCAGTAGCATCTGGAGATTATCAAGATGAGCAATAATCTCCAAAGATTTACTCTGTGAGTTTCCACTTGATCCAGCTAACTCTTCCATGCATACATTAAGTTTACTACTGAGAGTTGATATCTCGCCTTCAGCTTTCACCATTTCTCCTTGTAAAGCAGAAAGACTATTCTCTGCCTTCATTAGTGCCTCCTCAAGGGATCCTATTGTCAAGGAAGCATCGGCCATCTTGCTACGCTCAAACTCGGCCTCAATTTTAAGCTTCTCTAACTCATTCTTCAAACTTGTAGTAAGAACTTTGTCATCTTCAATTTGTTTGGACAGAGAATCCATGTTGCTTTCTGTCTGAGCAAGTGTTTCTTCAAGTGAATTTATGGTGCCATGGGCTTCTGTTAATTTGTTCATCTGAATTGAAAATTCTTTTTGCATCATCTCTAGCTCCATCTCTGCAGTAGCAGTTCTGCCTTGAGCCTCTTCCTTTTCACTAATAATATCAGATATATTTCTTTCAGCCTGCATGAGTGCAGCCTCAAGTGTGCTTTTGGTTGCAAAAGCTTCATCCAGTTCGCTAGCTACAGAGGAGGCATCTGCAACTGCTTTTTGCAGCTCAAGGTCAACATTTTCCTTGGCAGCTTGGACTTCTCTATTCTCCTCAGCAAGCTGACTGATGTTACCCTCTGCAGTAGACAAGGCATCCTCAACCAATTTCAGGGCTGTTTGGGTTTCTGCTAATTTACTGGCTAACGCATCAACTTCTGCCTTTACTTTCTCTAGTTCTTCTTGAACCTCACCTCTAGTCAGCTGCACTTCTTTGATGTACCCAGCAAGTCGGTCAATCTTTTCTGAAGGATCCTCAGATACTGCTAAATCAATAGGGATATCTATAATTTCGATTGATTTCATCACTTTCTGCAACAACGTGTCATTTAGAGATAAGGATTGCTTGAGTTGATCTCTTTCTTCTCTAATAGCAACAAGCTCAGTCTCTAGCTCTTTCGTGCGCTCTAAGTCCCTCGATAACATATCTATCTGATTCTTGTAGCCATCAACCGTACCACCTAGCTGCTGCAACTCGAGCATCAGCTTTTCGATTTCAGAATTTTTCTCATCCAACTGAGTTTTAAACTTTTCCCTATCTTGGACTAGTCCCTTGCCTTTCTTGATAGCCATAGAAAGTTTGTCTCTGAGCAAAGCAGATTTCTCCTCTGATCGCTCAAGATCTTTCTCCAACGCAATTTTTTCTTCTTTCACGAAAGCAAGTTCTTGAGATGCGATCTTTAGCTCATTTGAGAGATTGCTGACCTGAAAGCTAACCAGCTCTCCCTCTCCAAGCATTTCCTTACAAAGTGAAAACTCCAGATCTCTCACATAAAGGAGACTTTGAAAGCCTTCGAATATTTCTTCGTTGCCATAAGAACTGTCGCTAGAATCTCTGATTTGCTTTTCTATCTTTTCGAAAGATCTATCAACAAGTAAATTGATTGCTGAAGAATTACGATCTTCGACTCCTTCTGTCATCAAGCCAGAGATTTCCACAAGTCTCCTCACAATTTCCTCCCTCTCCAAAGAACCTCGCTCCGCAGTTTCCTCAATTTTTTTCAAACTGAAAGTTAAATCATCCAGTTCCTTTATAATGATATTTTTCTCCTCTATTTCTGCTGAAAGAGACATGCTTACACTTTCGATCCGGTTTTGCAAGGCATTAATTTCATCTTTTCCCTGGAGAAAAGATTCTCTAAGCCAAGCTAGGCGACTTTCTAAGCTGGATTGAGAAATCTCCTCTGGTAGCAAGTCAATGGAAAAGATCAAATCTTTTAGTCTGTTGTATTCCTGGGAAACATTTGTGAGCTCTTTCCTCTCTTCTGCAAGTGACCTAACTTTTTCAACGATATCAAAAGACTGACCTTCTTCAGGTGTATCTATGTTTGACAGGATATTTTCAATATTTTCAATGGTAGAGTTCCTCACCGATATCATTTCCTGATATGATGCAACCATAGCATCGGATTTGGCTAACTCGCCTTTGTCGAGTTCAGATTGATCCAATGCTGTTGACATCTCTTGTAGTTTCATCAAACACTCTTCAAGTTCTATGGTTTTCTCAGCCAGAGACTGTTCCAACTCTTTCTTTGTTAGCTCATATGCTTCCAGGGATACGGACCTATCATTCAATTCAGCATAGCATTTCTCAAGTTCATCCGTCTTTTCGGCTAACGATTGTTCCAGCTGCCCCTTCACTACTTCAGAATTTTCAAGAGCAATCTCTTTCTCTTGTAATTCAGTCAACCTATTCGCAAGCTCTGTTATTTTTTCAGATAATTGATGCTTCAGAGCATCCCGATTCTGAACTAACGCCTTCCCCTTTGTTACGGCAATGCTGAGCTTTTCTTTTGTGTTAGTACACTTTGTCTTTTCTTGCTCAAGCTCTGCCTTCAATTTTTCAAATTCTGTTCTCATTGAATCAATCATTTCTTTATCTCTGTCCACTCGTTCAACAAAATTCCTATTTTCATCTTCTAGATTACTAAGTCTTTCCAAAAAGGCTGCTTCCTTCTGTTTGAGCTCAAGAAGCTCAGAACAAGCAACCCCGAGAGCTGAACCAAAATCCTCTTGGAAACTAAGATCCAACACATCACTAGACAAACACTTCCTTAACTGATCAGCACCATAGTAAAATTCAGTATACTTTGCACCTAAAAACGAAACTCGGTTCTCCAAATGAGCAAGCTTTTCAATGATAGAAGAACCATACTGCAGCTCCTCCTGCCCAAATACATTACTAAGAGAAACCATAATCCTATCCGTTGCAGCCTCAATGTGCTCCAAGTTCTGTGCCTGATCTCCCATTTCGGAAACCGACTGTGACGAAGAAAGCTCAGAGATCTTTGTGGTGAGATCAGCAATCTCCTCGTCCTTCCCACTAATAACCCCGTGAAGCTCCTTGAGTGCAACCTCATGCTGAATTCGCTCTTCCTTGGCAGTTTTAAGAAACTTCGAGAACCGACTGACAATTTCCTCAGTAGTGTTCCCATCTTCACCTTTCAAATCATTCCCATCAGTCAACAGCTTAAACTGCTCCTGAAGCCCTGCAAGTTCCCTCTCCCAATCCTCCTTCTCATTCTATATGCAGTAAACAAAAAAAAAGATCTTTTCAATAAATCCTTGAGGAAACTCAACTAAAAATCTAGAATTTAGAAAGAATCAAAACAAATCACAGACATTGAAATGATTCACAAGGTCATCATTATCATCGTCATCTGTAGTAAGAGCTTCCTTGCTAGGTGTATCAAAATTCAACTCTTCAGGAGCATCAACAAACATATCTTCCTTACTATCAACGAAAGCTGTTCCCTGCAATTACCATCCCCCAATTTCAGCATAGGAAACCAAAAACGATTCAGAGAAACTCGAGCCATGGTAAAATAGAAATCTCACCTGGTCAGGATCAAGCTCTTCTTCTTCTTGCCCATTAGACTCGTCGTCATCATTCTTAATTCCATCAGCTATAGAATCAACGGAATCATGCGGAAGATCATCATTCTCGTGCATTATCTAAACACGATCCCAACCCTTTTTGCCCAACAGATCTACCACGAATTCGGTGACCGGAGAAGAGAGATTAGCAATATCCGTAATCAAAGACGGAACCTATAGAGAGAGTCGAGAAATGGAGCAAGGAAGTGTGTGAAACGGCTCGAGACAGAGAGATCCGTGAGTAATTAATTAGCGAGGTAAAGAAGAAGAAGCGTTGCAGCACGACCGACGCGGTGCGTTTTGTTTTCTCCCAAAATCGTTTTTTTTTTTTTTTGGGTTCACATATGTTTTGTTTTGTATTATGTTGTGTCGTGCCATTGAAGTGGGTGATGTGTTTCGTCCAATAAGAAACGTTTGCTTCTGTTCACGTGACTTTTATATGGTATATGTGCGATTTAAGGATCACTTAATTTTAGTCAAAGTATATTGAATGTAAGACAAAATTAGACTATAATCACAGATTCTCATAAAATACTGCATTGAATACATATAATCCTATACTAGTATTTTACATCCACAAAAGTTAATAATACCATTTTCTATCAATTAAATTCAACATGATAACAAGTAAATTATATCTTTTTAATACAACATATAATGGAATGAAATGATGATGGGATTCCCAATTTCCTATGACTTGGTTAGTGCAACACATGTAACACTTTGAATTACTAATGTGTCGCTATTGCATCATTTGTACATTCTGATCACATAACATCTTTCACAACTGTTGATCCACAAGTCTGCATGCACATCTCTCACATTTTGGACCACTTTCACATTTTCTATGGAGAGATCCCAGATTTCTTTGCAATTGACTGATTTGTTGTCTTTTTAACGTTTTTGAGTCTTAAGTGTCATTTCAATTATTGCAGCAAAAACAGACAGTTTTGGAGGAAAATGACCGAAAACAAAACTAGATTACTAGAGTATGATCACTTACATCCTCATAACATGAGCAAATAGTTAACAACATCAACCATATAATTCTAAGCCTTGGAGAACAAAGAGTCTCTTAGAACTTGGCATCCGTAAAAACATGACTTTAACTTAAAGCTCTAAATTACAACATAGACACTAGTCTTCCAGCTCTATCTCCTCCATGTACCTTCCAGAAAACCTTGATGGCTTTATCAACCATTCCCGCATCAATAGCAATAGCTCCAAAGATTGCCCTAAAGCCAGCACAAAGAATGGCCGAGTTCGATGCATCTGTCTTGGTAGAAACCCTGATTATCTTCCCCAAACCCAACCGGTCTCCGTCAAGAGCACAAGAGGACTCCACATTTGAAACCTGTGCTATCAAACGGTTCAGTGCTTTAGAGGAGATATCGATATCTTTAGCAAGGAACTGAAGAGAGACCGAGGTTTCAATGATATGGGTTCCAAAGATACTCAGTGCTTTGTTGCTCTCTTGAGAAAAAGAAGCATGAGTCATAGCACGGCGAAGAAGGTTGGTGTTGTTAAACTTGTAGCTAGACCAAAAAAAAAAAAGGTCACAACATTAAGACTATATAGATTCATGTCCCTAAGAATTTTAACCAAATCAGTGATTCAACTAAATCATCACATCAAGAGAGTATCTAATCTTATACAAATGAACTTAATTTCCCTAATTATGATCCTCCAATACACATTTAGGAACAAATCAGCAAAATCAACAGAGAAGAAGTGACTTTATTAGTTACTGTACCCAATTTGAGTTTGCAGCGTTGCAAGATCCGTCGCGAACGGCGAGGAAAATGGTTCGATCCTGAGATTGATTTCGCTTGTTGCTTGAACTTGAACCTACAATAGACGCCACGAAGAAACGGATCGTGTTCTGATCACAAAATATAAAAAAATTAGGGTTTTAGAGAAGAGATGAGATGGAGATACCTGAGAAAAGGAGGAGAAGATCCCGATGACGACGACAAGAAGAAGTAGAGTGAAACGAAGAGTTGCCATAGTTGAACCTTAAGTGTTCTTCACTTGCTTTCACCACTGACTGTAAAAACCGCTCTCTGTTCTTCTGCGGGAGAGACTTGAGAATTTATCAAGCGAAAGAATTTGCCCACAAATGTACAATCTCTTGGTTTAATTCGGTTAATCGGTTCGGTTTGGTTCGGTTTATCCACATTGAACATCTTGAATTGGTTATACTTTTAACAGGTTTTAAATCTCATGAAGAAACATGTTTATGTTGGGAAGAAGAAATCAGACATGAAGAGAGGAATATGTAGCCAAGATCATCTTTCTCTTTTTATATTTGATAATAAAGGGGTACACATTATGATTATGACAATCTTCTTAAATCATAATCTAAAATGAAGGAACATTTTGGACCACCAGATTCTTATGTACACTTAATTAAAGGTCTGGGATCACTCTCCCTCTGTACACCCGTGTTTGTGTTTCCGGATCAAATCATATCAAGTACTCGTTGTAGACTAAGAAGGCAGCTTCTGGATAATCCTTTGGGAGGCTATTGATGTGGAGGTAGAACCGAAGAAGATCCTCTTTGGTGACTGTTTCTGGATCCACCACATCTTCATCGCATGTCAGCACCCACAAATCCTCTGAGTTCACTCTCTTGATGCTTCCCCGACAAAAGGGGCATGACTCCGACTTTGTGTTCCAGTTTCGGTAACATTTGATGCACATGGCATGACAACAGTTTGGCAACACCATTTTGGTGCAAGGCTCTAAGCAAATCCCACATTCGTCTTCTCTTTCCAAGTCAATGCTATTCATGAATCTGCTACCTTCAATGTCATACTGTTTTTTCGTGATGGCTTTTGGATTCGGATACCACAAGCTTTCGTCCGGTAAGTCAGCAAAGTTGATATGAAGTCTCTCAAGTGACGGTAATATAACACCTGCGCTTAGCCAAAGCCCTGTTGTAAGATTAAGCCACTAACAAAAAAAAACACAATGGCATCAAACGGGCTTCTAGTCTTACCGTAAAACTCCCTGATTGTAGCTTTCCTTCCGTACCTGGATAGATTCCACCGCCCATCAGCACGTACCTGTACAAGACAAAGAAGACACCTATAAAACAAACAAGCCAAGAGGAAAGGAGAGAAACTATCAGGGAATCTACCATTTCACACACACACACAACTCGAGTACAGAGATATCTATGTATGCGGTAACAACCTTGTATATGAGTATGTGGAAGAAATCAAAATATCTTGGAAGCAGACATGAGAAATCCATCCATTGCAAGAGGAATATGAAGAATGGAGCCAAATTGCTGCAGACCAATTTCATCTGAAGTCGCACACCACTCTTTCCCATTGGAATCTCAGCAGCCCTGAACCAATATTGAGACTAATGAGTTACTTTACTAATCCTTCTAACATAACCCATCTCTTCAGACAACATATGCATCAAGAACAAACCACACAGATACAAATTTTGAGACTAATCAGTAACTATCCTTCTAATCACATAAACCATTTCCACAGACAGCATCATGACCAACACCACACATGAACCAATCCTGAGACTAATCAGTTACTATCCTTCTAATGACATATAACCCATTTCTACAGACAATATATGCCTCTAGATCACACAACAGCATACCAAAAATTTGCAATTTTTGGACCATTTCTGCAAAGTTTCGATTTTTAATAATCTAACTTGGTGACTAGAGACTGAAAATGTAAAATATTGGAGAATCATGCAGCCCTAAGTGGGTTTCGGTTAACTCAATTCCTGAATTAATCAGATCATCGAAGCCAACTATAACAATCGATAATGAAGACCCTAATAAACCCAGTAAAATCAGATGATGACTCACAGTCCATTGGCGTGCTCTATATCAGCCTCCAGAATCTTCAAAGAGTCTCTGTAAGAAGACTTGGTCAACTGATAATACATCTCCTTTACTAAATCCCTAATCTCGTCTCTCTTTCTCTCGATAAAGAAATGATAACAAAAGGATCAAGACAAAGAAGAGAATCCAAAGTTTGAGTCTTGAAACAGACAAACCCTTAGAACCCGATGAATCAAAAACAAACAACAGAGACGTCTGCTTTTCTCCACGTCTATCTATCTATCTCTTCGGTTTCACAGAATTAAAGATTTTGGAAGAAAAAATAAAAAAAGGAAGCGACTTTTCGCTCTTAAAAGATATTTTGAGGCCAGAGAAAGATAGAGATGAGAGAATTCGTGAAACCCAAGAGAGAAAAAAAAAAGAAAATTATATATATTTTTCGAAAATACAGAGAGAATCTTATCTCTCTTTTGGTTTCTTGCAAACTTTTTTTTAATTTTGGTGTTCTGTTTCAAACAAAGATCATAAATTCATAATGATGAGAAATTGAAATGTTGGGGATTGGATGATGATGATGAGTGTGTTATAATGTTGTAGAAAGAAATAGGCTTTTGTCCTTATCTATAAAACATTATATGCTTTCTGTTGGCAGGTCTCCGTTACCAAATTGGTTTCTTTAATCAACTTCTTTCATAAAGTATTTAATTTGAAGTCTTCAATATCTGTGACCTGTCAGAGCCAACATTATTTCCAATTATCTTATGCTAATTATGAACACAATTAGGGATTAGGGAAGAAGATTCTCTCTTCATTATCGATTCTATACTAAATTAGTAGTTTTCTATCCTTTTCAAATTTTAAGTATCATTTTAGACTAATCCATTTGTTTCGAAAAAATGTCAAATTTTAAGTATCATTTTATGATTGACAATAGTCAAAAATAACTATTAAAAATGTATAAAAAGAAACTCAAAATTATTTGACGTTTCATCTTAAAAATCTTGATAAATTAAATACATAAATCTATCTAACGCTCCAAACAAACTTTTACAAATTAACGGTGTTAAATTTTAGACGGAAACTATAAAACACAGTCGTTTTGTTTATTAGTTCGATTGTGAGTTTTTTCTCTTAATGTATCAAAGATATGGTTAAATTTCATGGTATTATAGGGTTGCTGAGATTGTTGAGTTAGGAGTTTAATTGTTTATAGATGAGCATTTGTATATATTTAGAGTGTTTCTAAAATCAATAGTAGTAGTACTTATTATAAGTCCTTTTAACATGTCATCTGCAGTAAAATACCTCATCCAAAGTCCACGGGCAAATTTCACGAGTCACAATAGTCAACGTAACAAGAATTAATTAAGAAGATTAATTAAATACTAATTGTACTTTTATCATTGCAGAAGTTTGTACGTTTTCTATTGAGTACAGTGGATAATCCCTTATTAAATTAATCCCCTGAATAATCAAATACAGATGTAATGTTTTGAACGTGACGTTGATCGTGTTGAGAGCTGAGATACGTAACTCAACAAAACCCTACGTTTTCGTTAAACTATTACTTTTGTTTTGAATCATTGCTCTTCGCTTGGACAACAAACTAATCTGGCTCTCCAGCAAGAATCTTTCTAAGACCATCTCCAATGCCCAACTCTATTTTTTTCTTTATTTTAGAGTTGACTCTATTTTAGAGGCATTTTGCTCCAATGTATGTCTCTAAAATAGAGTTTCCTCTAAAATAGAGAAAAATATAGAGTAATCTTCTTTTTTACTCTATATATAGAGTAATCTCTACATTTTTCCTCTATTTTAGAGCTAACTCTATTTTAAAGACATACAATGGAGCAAAATCAACTATATTTCCTCTAAAATAGAGTTATCTCTACAATAGAGTAAAAAATAAAGTTGGGCATTGGAGATGCTCTAAGCCTTCAAATTCCAAACGAATATACATAAATTTCAAATTTTGTAGATTTAATATTTATTGGCAACTAGCTAGAAGATGAATTCAACACCATGCTGTCACCAAATATAATTTATGTATGAAGCTAACATGAAGAAATAGCCATAGCGTTTACTCTATTGCTACAATGATTTCTAACTATAATATAGAAATTAATTAAAGATCGAGTTAATCAATTAAAGCCTTCTTTGTTTAATATTAAATCCAAAAGCATGTTTTTTTCACCCTGAGGTTTTTGTAAAAAATGTAGAATCGTATAAACTAAAATAAAGAAATATTGATTGTCTTATGAATATATTAATGCCACTAATTAAAAACTGGGTTCTACAGAATATATACTATAGTATAATTATTCTGGTTAGTTGCTATTGGTCGTAATGATCATATTAATTCAAAGTAGATGAACAACTCATATTTATTAAGTTAAAGAATGGGAATTTGGAATAATTCGTACCCTAATTTTCAATTCAAAATTATCATTTACCGATTTAAAGTTCTACCTAATGGTTCCATTGACTATATCGACCAGCCACAAACATATATATAAAACAAAATATGTTATGAATCGCAATACAAAAGTATAAACTCGTATAATTAAAACGACCCGAATAGGTAAATTAGCTCAAATGAATAGTCAAACGTTTATGGTAAGGTCTAGTCTAAGGACTAAGTAGATGTTGAGAACCATCGACCACCAACCCCAACTCCATTATTGTTTGTCGTAATTCCTAAAGTCATTTTGTCTAGATGAGTATCTTCCGAGAAAAGGCATCTTGTGAAGCTTGAGTTTCTTGCGGAAAAAGGTATCCTGTGAAGCTGCTTAGCTCACTTGCAGCAAATTCACATGTTCAAGTCTAAATAAAAGATATAGTCTTCACCTAACGTTAGTATAAAACTGGGTTAAACCAAAAACCCCATATCAAGTTTCATAATGTTGACAAAACAATCCAGCTGAAGTCTCCAAAACCAAATCTTTGTACCAATTAAAGTTTGTAACTTTCTTGTTCACTTGGGTCTAATACTGAACCGTGTCTAATCACCATTACAAGTTATTAAAGAGGACTACCTCCTTATAACTTTTGCTTATATAATCCTAATGACGAATCATGAGTCTTCTCATACCTCATTATAAGTTATTTCAAAACAAGAATGGAGCTTAAGATCACAGTGACTTCTCAGGAACTCGTCAAGCCCTCTTCTCGAAATCTTAATCATCTTCCTTGCCATCATCTATCTTTCCTTGATCAGCTTGCTCCACCTATCTTCATGCCTTTCCTTTTCTTTTACCATAACAAGACAAATCTCTCAGACAAAGAACGAAGTGATCACATCAAGAGTTCCTTGTCAGAAATATTGAATCTCTTTTACCCCTTGGCAGGACGCATCAAGAACCCGGGTGATGTTGTTGTATGTAACGATATGGGTGTGTCTTTTGTCGAAGCCAAAGCCGATTGCAACATGTCACAGATTCTAGTAAACCCTAATCCCAATGAACTCAACAAGTTTCTTCCATTCAAGTTTCATGAAGCGAGTGACGTGCCTCTCAGGGTACAGGTCACTTTCTTTGAATGTGGCGGCTTAGCACTCGGAGTAGGCCTTTCTCATAAACTCTGTGATGCCTTGTCCGGCCTTATGTTCATCAAAAGTTGGGCAGCTTTTGCTCGTGGTGACTCTAATGAAATCATTACTCCTTCTTTCGATCTAGACAAGATGTTTCCTTCCTGCGACATGGAAAATCTAAACATGGCTACAGGTATCACAAAGGAGAACGTAGTAACCAAACGCTTTGTGTTCTTGAAATCATCTGTTGAGTCTTTAAGAGAAAGATTCAGCGGAAACAAGAAGATTTGCGCCACACGTGTTGAGGCCTTATCGGTATTCATATGGAGCCGTTTCATGGCTTCAACAAACCAAGATGATAAAACCGGAAAGATCTATACATTGATTCATCCAGTGAACTTGCGTAGACAAGCAGATCCGTATATACCAGACAACATGTTCGGGAACATCATGAGGTTCTCTGTTACTGTCCCTAAGACGATAATCAATGAACATGATGAAGAAAAAGCTTCTCTTGTGGAGCAGATGAGAGAGGAGATTAGGAAGATAGATGCAGTGTACGTGAAGAAACTTCAAGAAGATAACAGAGGACACCTAGAGTTTCTTAGCAAACAAGCTTCAGGTTTTGTCAATGGAGAGATTGTTTCGTTTAGCTTCACGAGCCTCTGCAAATTTCCGGTTTATGAAGCAGATTTCGGATGGGGGAAACCTTTTTGGGTTGCCTCTGCAAGAATGAGCTACAAAAATCTTGTAGCTTTCATTGATACTAAGGAAGGTGATGGCATTGAAGCTTGGATCAACCTTGACCAGAACGATATGTCTAGATTCGAAGCCGATGAGGAGTTGCTTCGATATGTCTCTTCAAACCCATGTGTGATTGTCTCTGCATCTTGAGACACAAGTAATCTTTAATGAGTTTGAGTTTGTTTTTCCTTTCTTTTTCTATCAGATTTCATTCTCTTGTTGTGCTTAATGCATTCTTTTATACCTTTGCCATGAAATTGTATCTAGATCTATGTTTGGGTTGAATCTATTGTGCCTGACAAGATTTTGTGTTCTCTCTTAGTATTGTCTCTAAATCTATGTCTCTGTAAGAAGCTATAAAAAGATAGACTTAACTTCTGTTTTCTTTTACGAAGCAGCAAAACTTTGAACCAACCCATATAAATCTCATGGAAGAAGTATGAAATGAGTTTTGTTCTTGTCTAGATTAAAACAGGGGGATTCAGGGAAGCTGATTCAAGAAGTTCTTGATCACATTTGAACAGCGACATGTGTTCTTCCGTAAGAGTGATCCAAGCTTCAATTCCTTCTCCATCTTTGGTATCAATCAACAACATCAAGTTCTTGAAATTGGAAGTGCCTCTTCCGGTCACCCAAACCGGCTTTCCCCATCCGAAATCGGCCTCGTACATGCCGAGCTTACACCAGCTATTACTCATCCACATATCCACCTCATTTCCTCTTCTATATACTTTACCAATCTCTTCAAGAACCTCAAGAATTTTCGATGAGGATTTTGACATTTCCTTGCAGTTCAAGAAGAAGATTTCTTTTGCCCGCCTTAGCTCATTAACCACATCTTGAATTCTTTCTATCTTAGCTTCTTCATTCTTGAGAATCATGAGGGAAAGCA